TGGTTCATTTTAGAAATCCTTGCTAAACAACGCCCGACGCTTCAAATGCGATGTTCGGCCAAAAGGAGAAAAAACAAAACATTCTTCGCATAGCCTTGCTCCGTTGTTGACGCGCGGATGCTGGCAGACAGCTTTCTTCTTGCGACACGTGAAGCACTTTGGTGGTTCGTTGTCAGCGCCAGAGTTGTTAGAAGTATCCGGACGCTCCGTACCGACCAGATCAAGTATACGCAGCGCTAGATACTCAAGTGCACACGCGATGAGAGACCTGCTGGGCGTGGGCTCCACGAAGGGCGGAGATGGCTTTCTATACGACGCGAGCAGCGCGGCCTGCAGGTGAAAGTCCTCCGTGGCGGGCCTTGCAGAGCGCTGGAGGAAACTCGCGGCCTCTCTCCTTTCAGCCTCGTCCTCGGCGTCTGCTTGCGCTTTTCGTTCGGCGTCGGCCTGGGCTATCGCTTCGAGTTCGGCTTTGGCGCGTTCCTCGGCTTCGGCTTGGTCTTCGGCGTGGAATTCGGCTTGGATCTCGGGGTCTGGGATGGCGATGGGTTCGAGATGGGTGGGCGGGTTGAGAGGGGCCGTGTCGGTTAGGGCGCCGGATGTCACGGCTGGCGGGGTGGGCGCGTTGAGCCAGGGTGATGCGAATGGGGAGTTTCTGATGTTGGAGGTGAAGGCGTGAGATCCTGCATTGGGGGGGAGAGGGTAAGTTGGGAGGCCTTTTTATTTGGGGCGTTGTTCTGGGGAGGAAAGGGGGGGGTTGCACCGGTATATTGGGTCTGAGGGAAATGTAGAACCATGACCTCCTGCCAGTGTGTGTTGACATAATATAGCCGTCCATCGTTAACCATAGCCCGATCCCAGAATGCAGTAGCCGCTGGCGAAAAGAAGTAGTTTGCTCCAGTCATATTGACAGGCGTCCAACGCGCGCTGCTTTTAAAATGACTTTTGAAGGAGTATATACGCGAGGAATGAAGCTCAGCAAGAGGTCGCTGCAGCAGACCAGTTGAAGCCGGAGCTTCCAGGAGGCAGCAGCATATGCTCTCCCTGGCCTGGTACCATGGGTTACGCCTTCTTTGTCCCAAGAGCTTCCGAGCCCTGGACATTCGTCATCGAACGAAACGAGTCGACGCGCAGCAAGGTTAAGGGTCAAGAGCGACCATAGTCCGCCGTGTCAACGGGAGCCATTGTTCATCACAGCTGCACCAGATATTCCGCACTGGTGAGGGCATTGCATTTGTCCAAAACGGCTCAAAAAGTCCAGCTCTCGAGCAGTATGGAGGACGTCGTAATCGCAGGATGAAATTGTTGTTGGTTAGTGCCAGGTGCATTGGGGCGCTCGGAGCCAACATTGGGACTTTGCATAGATCTACTAGAATCTCTGCTCTGCATCTCCACTCCACCGTGGAACATCCTTGTATGCTCACTAACCGCGGAGGATCACTTTTTTTTTCGGATGTCTGCGATTCAACTGAAATGCCCGCGATTTGACCCAGTTCAGCTGACTCAGCCAGTCAAACGGGACCCCACAGCTTGGCGGACTCTGAGTGGCTGGAGTGAGTCGCGCTAGACCAAAACGGTTAGGTAAGCGAAGTGCCACAGAATTGCACTGCAAAGTTTCGCTAAATCGAGTTTTGCCTCCACGAAACCTCGCGCTGCCAGCTCCCACGAGACCTCCTCTTCAACCACCGTTTGACCCGACCTATCTCGAGACACACCCTCCCAGCCAAGTCTACTCGCAGATAACGTCCCGTTCAAGTCAAAATGGTGAGTTGCTGCTGCCCAGTCTCTCGATGAATGGAGATATCGTCCAGAGTGTGGATAGTGTGGATGTGTGATGCGATCAGGCTTGCCTTCGCTCCCGTCATCGAATAACGGCAACCCGGAGACGAAATTGGAAATGCTGACGGTCTGCCATCGATAGGTTCTCGCGGTCGATCTCCTCAACCCTACGCCTCAGGCCGAGGCCCGCAAGCACAAGCTCAAGGTACGCTCGCCACTCCTCCAGTCGAACAAGGGCGTATACAACGTATTTAGGGAAGATGGACAGCTGACGCGAGGATTTCTGCTCAAACTAGACTCTTGTGCCTGCTCCTCGATCCTTCTTCATGGACGTCAAGTGCCCCGGCTGCTTCACAATCACCACCGTCTTCTCACACGCACAGACCGTCGTCATCTGCGCCGGATGCTCGACCGTTCTCTGCCAACCTACCGGTGGCAAGGCCAGATTGACCGAGGGATGCTCTTTCAGGAGAAAGTAGATGCCAAAAATCTATAACAAAAAAAGAGGGAACTTTTGTCATGAATAGCTCGAATACCAGATAACGAATTTATCCCAAAAAAAAGCAATCATGGCGTTCTAAAATCCTCCACAAGTTTCCTCGTTCTCCCTACCTGACCTTCCTTACTTCCGACTTCTCTCCTTCGCCTGGGGCATCGCCCCCAATCAACAATTACTCTGCAGATAGAAGATGGAATGAACCAACCCCTTTTTTCTTTACTGTGCTGCGCCGGAGCGGAAAACGTGGGTCAATCTTTGATTCTGTTGGACAAGTGTTTATTCTTCTCGACAACGCATGGGAAAAGGCCGGGGGGAAGGGAGTTCCGGATATCTGGCGATTCCAACAACACCTTTCGTCGTCTCGCTTTATCGTCGCGTTGATTAGTTCTTTTTTGTGCGTCTAGCATCGCTTCCTGCATTCTGGCGAAAACTCGTTTTGATATTTTCGACACATCATAGGGGAAGGAGAGATGGACGAAGCATCTGTTATGAGCTCGAGCCTTACGTTACGCCCACGCGGGAGGGGGGAAGTCGCTTTTCTCTTTTCTTTTCACGACAATAATAAAACTCCACGCCTGGACTGACCTAGAGGCTTGTGACGACGGATGCGACTTCTGTTGAGGATACCTATCTGCCTGGTCTTGTACAAAGCACAGCGAGTCCGAATTCCTCGTGCGCGGTTCTGGTCTTGAAACGGCTGGGATTGCAACGCGGATTTTGTATGCTATGAGTAGTGTTTATGTATCAAGCGAGCTAGCTGTTGTCCTCGATCTTGGCCCTTTCGTATCGCAATCCCTTGGTCCTTCGTAGTTGACAGAAGCTTGAAAATAGGCTTCAGCAGCCGATGACGTATATATATGAACTGCTTTTCTGTAAGCCTTGCATCTAGTCAGATTTGGCTGAGAGGAATCTGAAAATCCACTCAATTTCGTAACAAACCGGCCCGACAATTAAGTTTCCCACCCCCCTCCGAGATTGGAACAGGGTTTCACAGAGAACTTTTTACATCAATATTCTATCAATTTCTAGTATTTACAGTTGAAAAAGAGCGCCTTTGGCGTGGATGTGGTGAGATTTCGTCCTGGAGTCGCACAACCAGGTCAGGCGCCAAGACCGTGCGTGTTAACCTGTTGAAGGACGACCCCGGGGCGTGTTAACCGCTCCGCTTGATATGATCTCCTCAAGCCAAAGCGTCAGCCAAAAGCGTCAGCAGCACTGGCGATCGGTGCCGCTCAACCAGGGGCTTGCACTGTTGCAAATATCCTGCAATTGTTCGAGTAAAATGGAGACAGCGAAGAGAATAGATGCAAAAAGGGGGGTGCAGAGCACTCTCGCATGATTGAAGGAGAGCGCCTGCGTTTTTGGCGTCCTCTTCCGCAACCCAGGTTGTTGCGTTCACACCTCCTGGAACCTTTCTTTTATTTCTCCTGAAACGGGGGAATCTGTAGTCTATTGAACCGGAAGAATTCTTCCACAGCAGCACTTCTCATAGCGGACAATCTGGGCCGAAGGGAGCGCGTCAACGGACTGCTAATGGAAACTTGACTTTGAGACTATTGAACCACAAAACGCCCGTTGGTGAATAGGAAGTTTCAGGGAGATGCGGAGAATTGAAGAAGGCGCGCCGGTGAGGGAATTTTAAAAGCCCCGGGATGTCCTCTTTTCCTGTTCTACTGCTGCTCTCGCTGTTCTCAAGACCAAGTATTTCTGCCCTCGAGACCAATTTATACAGAAACCTCTCTCCGGATCCAGGTCTATTTTCACACTCCAAGTCTCCGTCACAATGCCCAACAGCAGCTACGGCAGTTACACCTAAAAATCCTCTGGCACCAACAGCCAGATTTGTCTCTCCTTAGCTCTACTCGGGCCAGGAAGCTGCCGCACAGCTGGCAACGGGATAGCTCACAGCTCGTGCTGAAAACCTTAGGTTGAGGATATGTGTCACTAATCGTCATTCAGGGAAACCACTATTGCTCGCGCGACTACGGCTCCGGAGCTGCCAACAGCAGCTCCTATCACTACTCCAACACGTGAGGATCCTTGTTAGGCTCTGCTTTCTTCTTGCTAACATTGTTGTCCTATAGCAACGGCTCGTACTATTATAGCAACCCAAATGGGAGCACGTACTACAACAGCGGCCAGGGGAGCTCAACCTATACCTCCCCAAGCGGTAACGTCTCCAAGTCCAGTGGCGGAAAGTAAAGTTGACCGAAGATCTCGTCTCTGCACCGTCGTAAGAAACAGCATGAGGCGAGCCCGTCTGCTCCGTTCAACGGACTTTCGATGATTGTTGAAGCCATAACAGTGCTGGCATGGGTGTTAGCATGCCCCGTGTTGTCTTTTAACTGGAAGAAGAAAGAAAAACTCATTCATGTCCTTGTACTTTCTATTTCCCAGAGTTTTTGACTGCAAATTGATGGGACCCTAGCAAATGATATGAATCGACGAGTTTTTTTTTTTTTTTCTCGTGACTTTGCCATCAATCGCATCGTTATGCATACTCAGGTAAATCAAGCTCGTTAAAAAATTGGGAAAATTAGGAAATATTACACACTGAATACCCTCACCATGGTCTAGTAGTAGTAGTATTCATTCAGAGACTCAGCGTCACGAATTAGCCTGTCGAGTAGCGCCCAGGCGGTGAGAGAGTAACTTGTGGTGGTGATAGTTAAGAAACGTTATCGCCGAGGCAAGTGCAGTTCGGTGAGTTTGAAAGCATTTCCGTCGCGATATCATATTCAACCGGGGGGACTCAACGCCGTTCATCCCTGAATCATGTCTCTAGGCTTGATCATCCGTTGACCGCGCTCCCGAAACTATTTCTTTGAGAGTCACATCTGGGACTTCTCCCACCAGCACATCTCCACGGCACTCTCGCTTCCCGTCCCCGCCAGACAAATCACCATGGCGGCCGACAAACCCCTCCTTAAAATCCTCATGCTGCACGGCTTCACCCAGTCCGGCCCTCTCTTTCGTGCCAAAACCCGTGCCCTTGAGAAACACCTCCAGAAATCCTTCCCGCTGCACACCCTCGTCCTCTCCTACCCCTCCGGCCCCGTCCGCCTCGACCCCTCCGACATACCTAATTTCCGCCCCTCAGCGCCAGAATCAGACGACCAGCCTTCGCAGGAACTGTGCGCCTGGTGGCGTCGCGCAGATGGGATCGATCCGCCGGAATATCTCCGGTTCGACGTGGGCCTGACGGCCGTTGCGCAGACGCTGAGATCGGAGGGTCCCTTTGACGGGGTGATTGGATTCTCTCAGGGCGCTGCGTTCGCGGGGATGTTGGCCGGTTTGCTGGAGGATGGGAGGAAGGAGGCCTTTGAGTATTTTTCAAAGCCGGAGAATAATAGTTCGCCGGTGACTCGTGCGTCCGGGTCGTTTGCTCAGCCCACTGTTGCTGCTGCTGCCGCGGCGAATTCGCAGCAGCAGCTGGCGATGGGTTCCGTCTCCGGCGTGGAATTCCCCGCGGCGTTCTGGAACTTGGATCACCCGCCGCTGAAGTTTGCTATTTGTTATTCCGGATTTCGAGCGCCTGGGGCGCGGTATCGGGCTTTCTATGAGCGACCTGCGATTCGGACGCCTATCTTGCATGTCCTTGGCAGTCTAGACGCTATTGTTGATGAGAGTCGCAGTCGATTCCTGATTGACTCGTGTGCGGGCGATCCGGAGAAAGAAGGGAGAGTTGTTTGGCATCCTGGTGGTCACTTTTTGCCATGCCAAAGGCCGTATCTGGATGCGGCGGTGAAGTTTATCAGGGAATGTCTGGAGACGGGCAAGGGGAAAGGAGAGAGTGGGACAAGTAGCGGCGGTAAGTTAGAGGAGGATATTCCGGTGGAAGATATGGTTATGCCGTTCTAATGACCTTGTCTTATCTTACATAGTTGCCTGCTCCGCGGATGTTAAGGGCTTAAGGGGAAATATTTAGTCGGCAAACTAAGCAATTGGTTGGGATGAGGCTTAGTTACACCTATAGACCTATAGATCTATACCTAGAGAAGACTTTGTATGTCCTTAGAGGATAATCGCCGCATATTCTTCTTCAAATTCTATTCCTGAAAAGAGCACGTTTGCACAAGGTCCAAACGTAACATGGATTGTTAAAGGCATGTAGTTATACAATTGTTGTCATCTACATCCTGAACTCCCTCAACGAGCCTTTGCCCTCTCTGATTTCGAAGGTAAAATGCGTGCCATCATCTCTTCCTTCGTGATCAAATGATCGATGCGCTCCAGTAGTCCCAGCAAACTCTGCATACTGCCGCTCCACTCATTCAACACATCATCCGCATCTCGTGGCTTAGCGAAGCTTACGATCCTTGCCGGTCGATCGATTCTGGCGTAGATTGTCTTCGACGTAACCAAGTCGCTGATGTATTTCTCGGTTTCAGCTTCATCGAGGTCGAGGAGCTCGGTCAGGCGGCTGGTTTGAATACGGGTGTAGTATTTCGCAACAACACGGATGTTGTGCTCGATAACTCGCTTGCGGAGGTCCTGCCATCTGCGATTTGGCTTGTCATCCATAGACTGACCTGGAAGGGCGTCAAAGACATCGGTGCCGCACAGGTGAGGGCCAAATTGCTCGGAGACCACTGGCCAGCGCATGAGTTCGTGAGTCGTAAAGAGTTTGATCAATTGCGACTCGACGGGAACGAGTGAGTTGCGAGAATCGGCTTTGATACGGTAGAGAAGATCAGATTGCTCATTGTCATAAGGGGCTAGAACGACATTATAGATGATACGTTGAAGTGTCTGATATCCGATTAGCATCACAAAATAAAAATTGGAGCTATGTGGACTTACTGCTCGAAGTTGATCTGGGTTCTCCTCCACAGATTCTGTGTCAAGTACTTGTCGATAGTGCTTGCAAACCTCAAGGTACTGATCCTCATGATTCGCTAGGGCAATCTGCTGTTCGTAATACATCAGTTTAAGATCCGTCACATCTTCCTCCTTCTCCACCGGTGGCTCATCCGGCTTTCGCTGGCGTTCTCGCTCCTCCTCTTCTTTCTTCTGCTTCTCAATCTCCTCTGGTGTCTTCTTGGGCTTTCGCGCAAAGTATCTTGTGTTGATCTTTCGGCTCAGTATTTTGGCCTGGGTCCAGTCTCCTCTAGCTATACATAACGCAACCTGTTCAAGAATGAACTCTGTCTTTTCTCTTCTGGCCATGGACCCAAAGGTCTCCACTTGAAGCTCGCACAGGATGTCCGCAGCAGCAGCAATGTCGCCTTGAGATTTCTTTATCTCGGATAAAATGCGCGTTACCCGAGCCCTTTCGACTTCGACGAAGATCTAATAGAAGTCTGCCATGAGCAAAAATTCCATGGAGTGCGCCCTCGCTGTGCAATTGATCTCACCTTCCCTTCCGTAACGTTTCTCAACGTCTCGATCAGCGACATCTTGACGTCCATGTTGGGAGTCTCGTCGAGAAAGCCCATCACCACCTGTACCATCTTCGTCGTCGCCTGCTTAAGCTGGCCATGTTTCTTTGATAAAGCAACAACATGCTCATTCAGAAGCGGCCAATCGCCGGCGTCTTTGCACAATGTACATATCGCAACTAGAAGTCTGGAGGTTGAAGGAAGGTCGGACGACTGCGTAAGACAGATTGTCAGCCGAAACTCAGTGTTCGAATAGCGGGAGTATTACCTGTCTAGCTTGCTTCTCAAGAGCCAATAGCTTGTCGATGGCGCCTTGTAAACTTGTCTGTGAGAGAGGACGTGAGATATAATTCTCCGAGTCAAATATGCAAAGACAGATCAGACCTTTGCTAGCTCTTGAGCTTCGGGGATTTGCTGGTCGACATCTTTCGTGAAGTCCTTATCCGGCTTGAACAAGGTACCGTCCGACATGATGTGCGCGAAGACTCCTGGGTTCGCCGATTAATGGATCAAAAAGAACAGAGTAGATTGCGAAGTTATTCACAAGAAGTATGGAGCTATTCGCTCGGAGAGCAATACACCGTGGAGTGGAACCAGTGATAGAAGCAATGGGTATCTTGAACAGGAGCAGCAGCAAGCTTCAGGTGCCCAGGTTGAGGTCAACTGGCTTGGCTGCGGCTCCAGACTCACGTAATTTGTTATATAAGCTAGTTTCGCCGAAACGGATTAGCGTGAGATTCGCTTCTAGCTTCGCGGGTGCGCTTAACGCTAATTTTTAGCGCTTGGCTTGGCCTGACAAAATGGTTTCCATCAATCACGCAATCACGAAATCGCGCAATCGTCATCAAAAGCCAAAAGGGAAAAAAAAAAGGGAAAAAATAATATAAATATATATACGGAGTATATATATATTAAAGGAGAGATGGCGATCATTTTCAAGATGATTGCCCCTTTCTTTTTGTACTCGCTGTGGCTTGAACCTGGTTAATATCAAGTGATTGTGTGTGGGAACCTTTGAAATTCTGATATCCCGAAGCACGAGGTTTTGAATTGGATGGAGGATACTCTGTATTCCGTTGAGGGATAGCCCTGCCTTTGACATTTTTACATCCTGTCGTCATATCCGAAGCAAAGAGAACGCTTAGAGCAATTTTGATACCATTGTGATCGGGCCTTTGAATAGCGCCGATATCTAATATTTTTTTTTTCTTTTTTTTTTTAACAAAAGAATTTTGGCACTGGAAGATGGGAGGACTTTCGTCCGAATCGCCGGGGGTTCATCCCTTGCTTATGGCCCAGAATGTGGAATCCCAGATTCACTTGATTATCGGCTCAAATTCATTGTCTGTGGCACGATGCAGCAAATGCATTGATGCGGGAGCTATTCCAGTCATAATAGCGCCTCCTAATGGGGATATGGCCGCTTCCCTCTCTCAAAAGATCCAAGATGGTAGCGTTCGGTGGATACAGCGAGAATTTGAAGATAACGATCTGTCAACGTTGGGAAGAGCGGAGGTGGATGGTTACGTGGACGCGGTGTTTATTACGGCTGGCGCTAACAATCACTTGAGTACGTCTTTTGGCTCGTATGGTCGAAATGTAAGCAAAAACTGATATTTTCCTAGATTCACATATCTCCAAACTTTGCAGAGGTCTACGGATTCCAGTGAATGTTGTAGATGCGTCAGAACTTTGTTCTTTCAGCCTGCTCTCCACTTATTCCGATGGCCCCCTTCAAATCGGTGTCACGACATCCGGAAGGGGCTGCAAACTTGCATCCCGCTTGCGACGGGAAATTGCTTCTTATTTACCGCCAGGGCTTGGCACAGCTATTGAAATACTAGGAAGCGTTAGGAAACGAATCTGGGAGGAAGATGTTTCCGCAGCACCCAGCACAAGTTTTCATTTCGAGGTCGGCGACGACGATTCGGAAGCCCAAAAGCATACCTTCAATTCGTTAATTCTGCCTGAACATCCTGATGTTGCAAAGACGAGAAGAATGCGCTGGCTTTCTCAAATATGCGAGTACTGGCCGCTTCGTAGGCTGGCAAGCATTACAGACGCGGATATGGAGAAGATCCTCGCCGCCTATAAAGAAGCGAAAACCGCTGATATTAGTGATGCACATGGTGCACACGAAGAGAAAAGGGGGCAAATAATCTTAGCTGGTTCGGGACCAGGGCATCCAGATCTCGTCACCCGTGCGACATACCACGCCATCAAAACTGCAGACTTAATATTATCCGATAAACTCGTCCCGGCTCCGGTATTAGATCTTGTTCCTCGAAGGACGGAGGTTCATATCGCACGCAAATTCCCCGGAAATGCCGATAAAGCGCAGGATGAGTTGCTTGACATGGCTTTGGCAGGCTTGCGCGCTGGAAAGAGAGTTTTACGGCTTAAGCAAGGCGATCCGTATTTGTATGGCCGTGGTGCAGAGGAATATGAATTCTTCAGAGCGAAGGGCTATTCACCCGTTGTTCTTCCAGGAATAACCAGTGCTTTGAGTGCGCCACTGTTTGCAGATATACCTGCAACTCATCGCGGCGTAGCCGATCAGGTTCTGATATGTACTGGAACAGGGCGGCATGGCGCCGCGCCGGAACCGCCCAGCTATATTCCCACGCAAACAGCGGTGTTCCTTATGGCACTTCACCGGCTTCCATCGCTGGTGGAGTCATTAACTACCGCTGTCCCGGACGAGGCACTTTCGTCGAGACGTCCTTGGCCACGAGATACTCCTTGCGCAGTCGTTGAAAGGGCTTCGTGTGCGGACCAGAGAGTCATAAGGTCGACACTTGAGCATGTCTGCGCAGCTGTCGAAGCGGAAGGCTCAAGGCCCCCTGGTCTCCTTATTGTCGGAAGGAGCTGTGAAGTCCTGCATCGCACTGATCAAAAGTGGGTGGTAGAAGAAGGATTTAAGGGGTTGGACGACATTCGACATGGTGAGCACCTGCATGTGATTGATAAACTAGGTTAGGAGACATGATAGCTTTGGGTCTTAAGCGTCGTCCCTATTTAATTTTCATATAACTACTCCGTACCTTGAGAGCTTATAAATGCCCGCTGAATTATCATTTCACCTCGTCGGCGATGACCCTCGAAATATGTACCATAGTCTGTTAAATTACTGTATCGTTTAATTACCGCTAACTAAACCTTAACTGCCCAAAAGCATTATCTCCTTATCTTTTTAGCCACCACCTCTTCTCATTGTCCGCATCTGAGGATCATCATCCCTACGTAATAGTACCGAGCGCGTTACCACCCATCATGGCTGGCCCTTCCGCACCCAGCAGGCCGTATGTGTCGAGGGGGCAAGTTCTTCAGAGGTATCTTTACGTTGCTCCAATGTCCGCTGTCGGAGCTAACTTCAGCAGCCCGCCTTTGACCGTGAGGATCCAAAACTTCATTCACTCAATATACATGTTCCTAGGCCTCTACCTTGTCAGTTTATTCTCGGTGCGTACTAATTCTCTCATCATAGTTCGTCGTTGCTCTTACTTATTTTTCGCCTAGATGGATCCCTATACGTCCGCCCAAAACTCTAGATTCAACGCTGTAAGCCCACCAAAGCGAAGCCCACGACCCATTCCTCAAGGACGGTACGGTGGTAGTGGAGGAGGAGGTGGTGGAGGAGGTGGCGGGCCTGGCGGGCCTGGGGGGCCGTCAAAGCGAATTGGCAGAGTCGACGACGTTCGAGGTCCCGAGTGTAGGAGTTGCGGGTGATGAGAATAAAACTGCTGGTGGTAATATGTGGCTGCTTGTCAATATGATAGGCCGAAAAATCGATTTTGCCCTTCCCGGGACCATGAGGGGTGCCTTAATCTCATTTGAATCGTAGGTGATGGGTTTCCAATGCCGAGTCTAATAAATTACAGATGAACTGGCTTTAACCTATTGCGAATATTCCCCCTTGTGCTAGCGGCCCCGTATTGGCGAAGAATATTCCAGAGATTTGGCAGTGTTATACTTATGCGAAGTTTTGAGGAAAGGGCTTGAGGGTTGTCCTCCGCATAGTTTGACCGCGATGACGTCTAAAGGTCGATCAGGCCTAACATAATGTCATATATGACAGGCTCCATAGGTTACAGAGTACTGCGAAAGGAATTGTTTTATTACGGATTGAGTCGCATCCCGACTCCTTGCCTTCATGATAAACCCTAATTAGCTGTGGACGGCAACAGTCCGTTCTAAACTAAATGTACTTGTGAGCCTTGAGAGAAGTTCGATTCGCGATTCATCTTTTGAGCCCAAGTGCATCATCCTTCATTATTATTTCTCCAGCGACCTGGCAGCATGGTTGCATACAGATTGATCATTTCAGGTGGCCATATGTAGTTGCCATAGGAGCATTGATACATAACAAATCCCCAACAAACATCATCTTCCCTAGAGGTTTTATCCTTGGGTTTGCCTGTTGGGAACTCCAAGCAGTATCATCGCCCTTCCTGATGTTTCACAGGCTCACGTACATTGCCAACTACACATGAGCAGATCCGATCAAAGGAAGTGGAGAACAGGGGTTTTCGTCCACCCAGTTGTATTTAGGCCAGGGGAACAATCGAAGCCAATTCCTCTAGCAGCCTTTGGAGGTGCCGCCTTTTAGGGGCAACAAGTGCATCAGCACTGGATGGTGAGATGAGTTTGATAGCGAGCAACTGAATTAGTAGGTGAATAGGATGCAGATACCAAGGAGATTAAGTAAATCATTATAGACACGTTATAAAGCATGGGCTTCTTGCGTAACTTAACACCAGGACAACAACAGGGCGAAGAGAGCCCATATAAGGAGCTTCGTCAGCTGATTCACAACATCCAATCTGTTTGGTGACCAAGGGGAAGAAAGCTCATTATCCAAACTCCTGTTGCTGCCATACTCTGTACAGGTTATCGTTTTCTTTCCTGCTGCTGAAATCCTTCTCTATTCATTACCCTACTGCAACCTACAGAGTACTAGTACAGTAGATCCCCGTTATAGCGATTTAAATTTGGAAGCTTGTTCGATTCGTTATATAGGGGAATTCGTTGTATGGGGGTTCGCTATAGCGGGGATCTACTGTAGCGCCAAGTTTATTTAGTGTTTTTGAGATGCTTTTTCGCCAAAGCTTGATGTCCCTCAATAATGATTGGCCAATTTGGGTAGTGAGTTAACAAAGTTACATATTGGCTCGTTGGAATCTTGTAGCCCAACATACAGTTAACTAGCCCCCTCAGAAATTCAAGGAAAAAACCCACACCAAGAGTTCGATACGCTAATCTGGGCGAAACTCACGACCTACGTGAATTCAGCCTCGGAAACTCGATCGTACCGAGTATCTCCCCCTGGTCAACAGGCGCCGCCCGTATATTCTGGACTTGGACAAAATGAGACTGAGACAGTTTTACGGCCAGAGAACAAACATGGGCTTGAAATCAGAAATATTGCACCATCGACGCTCCAACTATGATTCCTATAAATTTATCGTACCCCTAGCTTAATCATCGTTCAGGGGCAATGCCACAGTCCGGATATTTAACTCGAATTCCCGTGTTGATGACGTCGAACTCAATGTGTTTACCTCTTGACAACAGCATCTCTGCGCAATGTTCGGTATGTTCGTACGGTGCAATATACCAATCGATAGTTTCAAGGCCGTTTTCTTTCAATATTGCCCTATGCATCTTCTTCCACATATATGTGCAGTGCCGGACGTGATATTCCCAGTTCACATAGAGGACAGGATAGTTTCCTGATAGTGCCTCAGACGCGAGGACCGGTTGTTCCCGATTCGGCTGGAGGAACCATTCCCATTCGTGGATCGAGGAGAACGATTTGGATAGTTCGGCATCATAGCACTTATGGTGGAGCCATGCGAAAGAAATAATGTCGAAATGACAGCCTGCTGCCCGCGCAGAAGTGGCATTGGTGCCGCATGGTGATTTTAGAATTGATCGCATCCCTTTGGCTGCTGGAGGATGAAGGTGGCCGTCATATATCGCATGCCCATAAGAGCTGGTCGGGTGCATGGTCTGAGGCGAAGGGGAGGCTGTGTTCATTTTGGACTTCTGAACATTATTTTGCGCCGGTTGGTTCGAAGCAAATACCAGTTGAGAGATGAACATAACCACGAACGCCAGTACCAAGAGCATAACAAAGGAAAAGAAGATGAATTTTATCATCCTCGTTGATTTGTCAATATGCCCTAAAGCAACTCGTCGGAGCATGTTGGGGTGGTAAACAGGTTCCGCCGTATCCATGGTTTCTTCATCCTCGCTTCTTTTCACGGCGGCATAATCCTGTTGCTTTTTCCACCACGGGGCTCGGAGTGTGAAACGGCTTAAATGCCCGAACGAGATTATTGCTCTTGCCATTGAGATTTCGAAGTAAACGATGTGAAAAGTGCCTTTTCGAGCGGAATTTGCTTTAACAAACAACCAACTTTCACGCCGGGTAAGTAAATGCCTCTGATCTCGGTGGTCCCTTTTCCTGCCCACACCCTAAGACAATATATTGTCACTGAACGTGACGTGCAGGCACCCGCTTTTAATTCCTTGTCAGAGAAACGAGAGGATTACCCCGGTTCGAACCAGTCCGCCCAGTAAGTCTGTCATGCATTACTCCTTTCCGCCTTTCCCATGCACCACCCCTAGCCCCTCTTTGACGCCTTTCCTCGCCGGCTGAGGCAGGCCTGACATTGCATAGCAAGATATCCGTCGCTGGACATATGTTTCGACGTTGCATCGCAGAATTCCCCACTCCGATGCATTGTATTTAAGTCATCTTCTAGGTAGTCCGGTGCTCCTATGCATATTAACTGGAATATATCTTGCCGGCTTCTGGAACGCTATCCGATGAATCATATCCCTTTAAGCCGGCAGCGCCAAGGATACACAATTACAGAGCTAAACGCTACCTACTTTCAACTGGATCTCTATTTGAACTGGCATGTGGCCCACCATTTTGATAATTTACCAGAACCCTTGCTATACCTTTAATAGCTGACAATGTTCAAGACTTTCCTGAGTCTCATACATGAATTACCAACTGTCAGCTGGGCTATGCGTGTTCCTCGGCATATCTCCACATAGCATCCCAGTTTCGACACTTATGAGGACTATTCCAGCCAACCACTATAGGCGTCCCGTTAAAATATGTTGGAATCTCTAATGACATGTCGCCTGCGCATTGAAGCCCTTGTCTCACATAGTTGAAACAGTGCTGGGCATGCCAGAGACCGTGACCGTTGGGCACGAAATCCGGGGAACCCACATTCACGTCGGCGGCTAGAAACTTCTCCTTGTCAAAGGTACCCTGCAGCATGTCATAAAAGACTTTTCGGATAGCGGCCTAAAGCCTGCTTGTTAACTGATTTACTTTCGGCTGCAAAAGAGGAGAAGAGTCTTACCAGACAGTGAAGCTGGTGGAACATACTAATACCATACTTCATTTGGCCATTCGCAGGCCAACCAGCAGCAATATCATACTTCTCCCAATCTTTCACCAAAATGAAGCCCTGCTGTGACCATGAGTTACGAGATGATGTAGCTATGATGTGTTAGTTGGAAAACCTTGGTAATCAAGGATGAAAGTGAAGCCAACATACGGCCAGCCAACGCTTCCCAGGCCGCATCGCTTTTTTCCGATCGAGGACCAGTGTATAAATCGTCTAGTCCGAACATTACTGTCTCTATTGGAACTAAAAGACGGCACCTATTAGCATCACGACCTCTCCACGCAGAGTCTTGAAGCGCTTACACTCAGGAATTGGGGTCATAGGTACCCCCGGCTTATTGTCATGAACGCGCCATCTGATTTCCAGATTGATGCTGATTAAAACCACAACTAAGGCCAAAATAATGAGCAACAACCCCATGAAGACCGAAAGGACAATTCTCGTCTTCAAGTATCGTGAAGCGACTCTTTTCGGAGCTTTTCCATTCGACAGCAATGAGGTGTTTACCTCATCTTCACAGGAAGAATCGGTCAACTTTTCGGGCGAGTACATTGTCGCGGCGGGCGATTGGGATAATGATTGAAAAAGTGTTGAAGTCAGAAACATTTCTGAGAAACACGGGTTTCTTAAAGGGAAGTCGACTGGTGCAAATGGCGGATTCAACTTGAGAGATAAGTGAACCGAACTGATTGCCACTATTGATAGTTAACTGTTGGCAATCCTCCTTTTCCCGGTGAGTAGCCTTGTGCTTTTTTCTGCCCAGGCTGCTATCATGCATTTCCAATAGAGACGATCCCAGTCCCTGTTTCCCTGCCGTCGATGCATATCCACTGACAAACTCCATGTATCTCTTAGGTTTCTTCCGTGCTCCTCAGTATGGCTCGATACATAAGCATGAATACTAAATCCCCGTTGTGCATGGACCTACTGGAATTTCACACCTCAGCCGCTTTCATTTTTTCGATTTATTCCTGATTGTCTATACCTTGCTCATATTATCCAGGACTGTGAACCTTTATTCAGGCTGTCGAACAAATCAGAGGCATTCTCAATAGTAACCATGCAATCCCCAAAAGCATGACAAACGACTAGGCTTTATGGTGGCAAGTTATATAGACTTGCAGAAAACATGATCCATTTGAATCGAAGTCCGGCTTGTTTCACTGAACTCCACATCTTGCTCGCCCAGGATCATTCAAGGTATCTGCGGCTGCGCGATCAATGCACACAACCTTTGCAATGGAGATTCGGTTATTTGCATCGACAGGGTCACAGAAGCCCCCCGCGTCTCTTAGTCTATGCAGAGGTTCCTAGGGGAATACATAGAATCCTATATACATGTTTATGCATTATAAAACCCAGAGTTTCCAGCCCTTTGTCTTTCAAATCTTTCCCAATCAACCCAATTTCTACAGCTTACAGCCCCAAAAAGTTACAATTAAAATTTAATTTTGAAGTGCTCACTTGCAGTCATGTTGTTTTCGCAAGCATTCGTTGCCTTGTTCCTCGCTTCGACGGTGTTTACCGCTCCTCTTACCATTCCAGGCCAAGAGACTGACGGTCTCAACTGGATCAAGCGCGAAGACCAAGAGAATGATGATGCCCATCCCTTGAACTGGATCAAGCGCGAAGACCGAGAGGATGACGATGCGCATCCCCTGAACTGGATCAAGCGCGAAGACCGAGAGGATGACGATGCGCATCCTTTGAACTGGATTTAAGGCATGTCCTAACTCTGTCCTCCTGGTATTTAAACTATTGCTGATATGAGCTAGCACATAAAGAGCTGCCAACTAGAGTGAGGCCACTTTCCCAGAATGAAATTGAAAATCTAAGCGTATCCTTTGCTTGACACCTGGGCATTCTGCACTTTGAGGGAGGAATATAGACTTAGTCGTTTTCTGGCACGATTTTCTTGGGTTCAGTTGATTTGACAACAAAAATGCTCCTGTTTAGCCTCACAGGGTTTGTGGTTCATCCGTATGGGTTGTTTCGGCTGTATCTTTCGCTCTAATTCCAGTCAATCAGTTGCAGAGTAGTTATGAATTTTAGATGCTGGAACTTTCATGGCGCGCCCTTACAACTATGCCTTGCCTTCGGGATAGGATGCAAGGAAGGCTTATGGCACCCCACACAGCGCAGTGCTTTTCAAATCGTAAACATTCAATCAGTGAATCTCCTTGCTGATTTATTCTGTTGGTTCCCGCCATCGAGTACGTCGTAACAACTTTAATAGCACAACGGACCCGATCACAATGAAAAATGCAACGAGCTCCACAAACCTCGAATTGGGAAAGGTATGTACAGTACATACACACGGAGTTACGGAGTACATAATTGAGACACAGGGTACGGGGTACCCCAGACAAGGTGTATGTAGGTGTAACTAATTCAGCGACGCGAAGGTTACCGCACTGATATGAGGTTTTCGGACAGGTATGGCTACGCCGTGACTTTACTAAGCGAGGCTCAAAGCACACAAGATTATTTCGTTGCTAATGAACGCAGTTGAACCAGCTGCCGGTACGTGGGGGTATAAATTTATGGAGCGGCTACAAATAATGACCAATCTTTATGGGCCGCTTCAGCTTCGGTAAACTATTTCGCCCGAGAACCATTCATGTTCATTAACTACATTAGGCTTACAGAGTAGTTAGCGAAGGGACCGGCCAGGCCTGTTCATATCTCAAAGCACTGCTCCGTAGAGACCTGCAAGGAATGCGCGGAAGCTCTAGGAACTACAGAACCACTAGGTTCGGGCGTTCTCTATGCTTGCTCCCTCCGCTCATCCCTGGATACAGGGATGGGATGAGAGAAAGCTCCAGATTGGATCAAGGAAGATACTGCCCACCTAGGGTAGGGGCATTCATTGACTACATGGAGACTGGCGTCAACAACATCTGGAACACATTTGAACCCCAAGCCAATGCCCATACACGAATGTTGGATGTTGATTGCTACCTCTATTTTTTCAGTACTTTCTATTATAATCTTCAATTTACAGAGTAGGCCTCAACCCAAAATTATAAGAAGCTTATCGTAGACACCTTCAATTCTTCAGCCATCTTGACATTATGCCAAGAGCTAAGGTTGCATGGCCTCGAATATCAAACTGGGCTGTCGGCCTAGCGTGGTGCGGAGGAAATCGAAGTGGCAAACGGTGTGTTATGTAAGTAACTAACTCGGAGGTGGCCTAGGGAGTACTGAGTGATACCAAACTCGAAAGCATGCCCCTGGCCTCAGCCGTGCTGTAGACGCTTCACGTTCTGGACAGTCAGTTGCAATAATGCACGGGCCAAATTTGAGACCTGGACACGTGAATTATGTTAGCCAAGCCGCGGATATTTTAATGCAGATCCGTCCATGGATGTACTGCGGTCTTACCTGCATGTTCGGCGCTGGTGACTTATCCCTACAACCTACAGGATGAGCAGGACGACGGTCTTCGTTAGTTTACTCAGAAGTTCAAGCGTAATTTGTACTCCGTACTCCGTACCTGTCTTGATATCTAAAATCTTCACCTTGCAGTTATCCAGCATCGGATTCCGAAGCTCTTGACTTGGATTCACTTTTTCTGGGAAGAGTGTTGGCCAATAGTGCCATAACTACACGACTGGCTGATTCCGGACAAGCATTTACCTCTATCCATACATAAATACGTAGTCGGATTCCGTGCTCAATCATAAAGAAAGTTTGTGCTCTCAGGTATTGGATGGAGGGGGGGTTTGTTCTGAGGAAACGCTCAGTGGGATTAAATGAACACCCAAAAGATCTGACTGACGTGTATGTACTTATACCCCACAATGTCAGTCATACCGGCTTAGCCGTTCACCGGGCTCTTGGCGAAGGCCAGTCAGGGTCAACTTTGGCCCTGGAGCACGGAGTCCACATACATGGATAGCTCAACGAGCGCCGTGAGCGAAGAATTTGAGGCTAAAACTAAGTTAAGTTGCGGCCCGAAAGCTGCAAGGGCCACATACTCAGTACGGAATAGTGGAAAACTTAATCAGGCAGAAATCAGCGTCGTCACCGCGACATCATCGCATGAATGCGAGGCAGGAAGTTTTAAAATGGAGGGTAACTACTTCAACATTTCTTTTACATTCCATTTGGTTTGTGAAACTTCACCAGCCCATTCGCAGATATACCTTACAGCTCGCTCGTAGGCGGCTATCAGTTTCCTCATGTTAAGCTGTTCGCTATGGGGATTCCTGTCAATGACTGTTCCGATCATGGATTCGGACCGGCGAGCTGCCGAAGGTTTGATTTTACTCTGGTATTTGAGCAAAGCATACTGTCGATCCTGCCATCGGCTGCCCTGATCATCCTGGCGTTTGTGCGCGTCTACTTCCTGTACGGATCGAGTGTCAAAGTTATGCCACACCCGGTATTCAAGGTTAAAGTGGTACGTACAGTAGAAATGATTGTTCTACATCAATGAACTTATGCATTCGTTGCTATTGTCCTCAAACAGAGAAGAAAAATGTACCAAAAAGGAGCACTGCTTTCTAACCTATTTAGGTCATGGCCGTCGCATACATTGGTCTTCAATTAGCGCTGGTAGTACTCTGGAGCTCAGTCGCCTCAGTTCAAACCGGGGTGTCTATTGCATCTGCCGCTCTATCATTTATCGACTCGCTCGTTATTTTGCTCCTGTCCTTTGTAGAGCATTGGAGGTCATACAAACCTTCATCTTTACTTCTTACCTTTCTCTTGTTTTCTGGTCTTTTTGACGTTGTTTACATTCGAACTCTCTTTCTAATATCCGAATTTCCCATTTCTGTAACCAAGACAGTCGCATTGGTGGTGAAGATCGTGCTGTTTCTCCTTGAAACGCAATCCAAAATCGGTTATTTGAAGGAGCCTTACAAGAGTTACTCACCAGAATCAACTGGTGGCATTCTCAATTGGAGCTTTCTTTGGTGGCTTAATAACCTCTTCATCACCGGCTTCCGGAAGATTATGACTTATGGCGATTTATTCAACATCGATGAAAGAATCAACTCTCGGGTCCTGGACGAGAAAATGGGAGGCTCGTGGAAAGTATATAGTAAGTCTGCATTCGCGCCACACAAAGCTCAAGCTCACTAACTGCTTTTGAAGGACATTCGGAGAAGAGACATGCGCTAGCAATTGCAGCAGCATCTTGCTTGTTCTCAGAATGGCTCTTAACCCTACTTCCACGCCTTGCACTCGTTGGATTTAACTATGCACAACCTTTTCTGATCAGTCGCTCTATCAGTTTACTCAGTCAACCGGATTCACAGCGATCTACCAACTATGGATATGGCATAATTGGTGCGACGGTTCTAGTATATGTTGGAAAAGCTGTTGAGTCAAGCTAAGCCTAGCCCACCGAGTAGAAGCTAATACGAATATGCAGCTGGCCACAGTACATTATCGGCAACGTGTTTTTCGAATCATTACTATGTTCCGCGGATCAATGGTTACTCTCATCTATAACCACACTTTAGAGATCCAGGATGGTTTGCAATTTGAAGGTGCAGCTTTAACTCTGATGTCAACAGGTCAGAGAGGACATTTGATAATCGTGGGCTGTTCGCAACTGACTTCCGCAGACATAGAAAATATCGTGGAGTCGCTGGAGCCAATCAACGAGATTTGGGGAAGCACAATTGAAATGGCCATCGGTATATGGCTCTTGAAGAGGCAACTAGGAGCGAACTGTGTAGTTCCAATCATCATTACTTTAAGTAACTACCCGTTTCATCTATCTCTTCTATCTCAGTTCTGATCAGCGGACTACTAGTTTGCACATTTGGTCAAGCATCTGTGGCGAAGCGTATTGGTCAAAAGCGACAAATGTGGACTCAAGCGATTCAGGAGCGTGTTTCTACGACAGCGTCTGCACTTAACTCTGTCAAAGCTATCAAACTGATGGGTCAGCTTGAATATGTGTTCCCCAGATGAGTTTCAGACACTGACATGCTATATATAACCAGGACTTGAGAGGATCTTGGAGGTTACATTGCAGAACTTGCGGATCCACGAACTATGCGTTTCAGGCGGATTTATGTGGCTCATTCTTTTTCTGAATTTACTTGGTGAGGAATATCCTAGAATGATGACTCTCGATTTTCCCCCCATATTTACGGTGCGGACAGCGACGGCCCCAGCTATCTGGTCACCAGCCATAGCCTTTATCGCGTTCACTATCCAGGCCAAAATTCAACACTCGACTCTTCTTTCGACGGAACAAGCTTTCACTTCATTAGCTGTCATTTCGCTCGTGACTATCCCAGCGGAAAGTTTTATGGTTGCGATCCCCCATACTGGTGCTTGCCTAGGTTGCTTCACACGCATCCAGGACTACCTTCGCCTCCCCTGTCGGAACGATCATCGGAGTGGCCCTCTACATCTATCGGATACTGCCCCGTCCCCCTTTGATAGCTCTTCGAAACATGTCGAGCTAAAATGCCTAAATATAAATCCATCGGTTTCATCCATGGAAAATGCAATCTGTTTAAAGGACGTGACTGTTCGCCCTGCACCGGCGGCTTCACTTGCACTTGATAATATTTCTCTCTCCGTTCCACCCTCGTCGCTGGTCATGGTCGTAGGACCAGTTGGTTCTGGGAAAACGACTTTGATTAAAGCCATTCTAGGCGAACTCCCTTGTGAAAGTGGCTCAGTGTCCGTTGCATCGAAGCAAATGGCCTACTGCCATCAAAAGCCATGGCTGACCCACACGTCTATCCTTCAATCGATTTGTGGGCTATCCGAAAGTCAGGCGGTAGACGAAGCCTGGTATAAAACCGTGGTATATACTTGTTGCTTAGAAGCGGATATTAAAATGTGGCCAGAAGGTAGCCATACCATCATTGGGAATAATGGACTTATTTTGAGCGGAGGTCAAAGGCAGAGATTGGTACGTGCAATTGACTTCAAATTGTGTGACACGTACTGAGCTGAAGATAGGCGCTGGCTCGAGCTGTTTATGCCCGAAGAGGTATCATTTTACTTGATGACGTGTTCAGCGCCCTTGATGCGACAACAGAGGATATGGTTTTTTCTAGGCTGCTTGGAAACCAAGGCTTGCTGAGGAAACTGAATAGCACCGTAGTGCTTGTCACTCATTCTGGTATGTCAACAACATTTAAATGCTCCTTTTTTTTTTCTCGTCCTAACCTCATTTTTTTCAAGTCAAACACCTCCCTTTCGCAGATGATGTAGTCATTCTTGATCAGGGTCGTATTGTCCAAGATGCGCGCGACGCCACAGTCTCCAAAATAGAGGTACTAAAAGATACTATGATGCAACCCTCGCAGCTGGTGGAGAAAGATATGCAATCAAGTCAAGACGCAAATGAATTACCAGGCTTATCAACCATTGAACAAGATCTGGTCCGGCGCACGGGCGATATCGAGGTTTACAAGTACTATGCTAAATCGATTGGATGGAAGTACACGTCTCTATTTGCGATCGCTAATATCGGATATGCTTTTGCAATTGCGTTTCCTCGTGAGTGTAATTCATCTATGATGCTTGAATGCCACTAACTATGGCTTCACAGGGGCTTGGTTAGTATTGTGGGTGAAAGCTGGTGGCGATCAGCTTCACATTTACATTCCTATATATGTGGTGTTGTGTATTCTGGCGGACATCTTTCTCGCTGGAAATTTGTGGTAGGTGCAAGTATCTCAATCCGCGAGGATAAGGACTAACTGAGTTAGGGTGACTTTCATCAAGATATTACAGAAATCGTCGGCTCGGCTCCATGAAAATTTACTTGAAGCAGTCATGAGGTAGGCCATCTTAAAACCCGCAATTTTTCAGGAAACTAATAGCACAGAGCTCCGCAATCATTCTTTGTGCAAACTGATACCGGGGTTACTCTGAATAGGTGCGTTCAAGAGTACCTGCAAGTTGTCTTAGTGGTTCTCATCCATTTTCTCTATAGATTTAGTCAAGACATGTCTCTAATCGACAACAACTTGCCTATTGCGCTCAACAAAACCGCAGCTGGTTCGTCCTCTCCAAGCAGTCTGACAAACCAGGATCACGGGCTAACCATGCATTGAGGAAGAATTTTGCAATTGTGTTGCCCAAGCTGTACTGGTATGCACAGGTTCCAGCTACATGGCTCTCACGGTTCCTTTTACTCTGCCAATCATTTATTTAATTCAGAATGTCTACCTGAGAACCTCTCGTCAACTTCGTCACATGGACCTAGAAGCCAAAAGTCCAATATATTCACACTTCTTGGAGACCTTAAATGGTCTCTCAACCATCCGAGCATTCGGTTGGCAGCAGTCATCAAAGAACATCAACATCTGCCACCTTGATGCTTCACAGAAGCCGTACTACCTTTTGTTTTCCATCCAGCGATGGTTGAACCTAGTTCTAGACCTCCTTGTGGCCGCATTAGCAGCCATTCTTGTTTCTCTTGCCTTTTCTCTGAGGCATAGCACTAGCCCCGGTCTTTTAGGCGCGGCGTTAAACACGATCCTCGTGCTGAACCAATCACTGCAAAAGCTAATTACATCTTGGACATCACTTGAGACATCTTTAGGAGCTATTGCCAGAGTCAGATCCCTTATTGCTTCGACATCAACAGAAAATCAACCCAGGGAGAACAGGGAGCCCCCTGCGGCATGGCCAGGCAAGGGTGGAATTCATTTTGATTCAGTGTCGGCTTCATATGATGGGGTAACCATGGCTTTGAGCAACATCACGATGCAGATAAAGCCTGGTGAGAAGATCGGCATCTGTGGGCGTACTGGCAGTGGCAAGAGTTCTCTGGTTCTTACTCTCCTCCGCCTCCTTGACATTTCAGCAGGCCGTATCATCATTGACGACGTGGATCTTTGCACAATTCCGCGGCACGAAGTTCGATCGCGGATTATCACCATTCCTCAAGATCAATTCACGCTAGACGGCTCTGTCCGCCTTAACGTCGACCCTTCCGGGTGTATTTCCGACAAGGATATTCGGGATGCACTTCAAAAAGTGCACCTTTGGCAGATTATCGAGGCTCGTGGCGGTCTCGATGGGAAAATGGATGCCGGCTCATTCTCCGCTGGAGAGCAGCAGCTCTTCCGACTTGTTCAAGCCATACTCCGGAAGGAGGGCCGCAAGATTCTTGTTCTTGACGAGGCAACTAGTAATGTTGACAGTGATACGGATCTTCTGATGCAGAAGCTTGTCAAGAAAGAGTTTAAGGACTTCACCGTATTGACAATTGCACATCGAGTGAGTTGCATGGATTTCTCCTAAGGCTTCCCTTTCTCACTCGAAATCATCTCTGGAGGCTCTATTCCTCGTATATTTTCTTTAATGTATCATATACATTCGCTCATGGATTAATTCTATAATAGGTCGACACAATACTCTGCTATGACAAAGTTGCTGTCTTTGATAAGGGAACATTAGTGGAACTTGATTGCCCCCAGAGGCTTTTAAAAGCAAATAATAGCGTCTTTGGGAGTTTATATAAGGCCAAAAAAGCAGAATAAGACCCAACCTTCTCGAACCCTCCGACGACTCTCAGATATACTATTGAGATCCCGCAGCGGAGGTTCGAGGCACAGGATGGAAAGGAAGTAGAGGATCCGCATTGCTAGCACGATTTGATGCGGATAAAAGTTGGCCCGTGTGTGTAGGCCAAAAAAAGGCTGATGTTTCAAGCTGGATTCCGCATCATTACGCGATTTCCGTCTTCTGCTTTTGGCTTTCATACCCGAGTCAGTTTTCTTGCTATATCAAACTTGATTTCGATCCATGACAATAGCGGATTTGCTGCCTGGCTCCTTGCAGGGTTCCGCTAGGGTTGAACATACAAGTTGGATTGCCTAAAGGGCTCATTGGATATGCTCTGTACCTTTCTATTGAGCTTGAATCAAGTTGCGCATCCTAGAAATTCGGAAGGGTTGTTGTTATACAAATCAACAATCTGTTGTGCAAAACGCGGAAATGTATTTGCCTTTCCGCCGGGTGCAACACGGCTGCCGGGCAATAATTCTATTACAATCCCAAAACTACGGCTGTCTGTTGGGTCTTTAATCAATAGGCGAACGTCCGCCTTTTTCTGGAGCACATTCAGGGGCATATTTGCGGACTGAGCGGAAGGGTGCAGGATTTGCCGCCTTGTTGACGATCAACCTCGACGCATTTCTTTTTCCATCAAGAGGTGGCTTGGCACATACGGTTGAAATTTCGTGAATCATCTGTTTCTCAGTGACTTGACGGAAAGAGCTCCTTGCATGACCTCTCTGGGCTGCTGCTGGACTTATCCTGCAGAGGTTCCAATAACAGGGTTTCAAGAGATGTTTCTGCACAGTGTATCCTGACTGTGTAACTGGCAAGACTCCTCTCCAACATGTCAATACAAGAGGGTTGATCGGAGGGCCACTTCAGGTAAAGGTGCCCGTCTTGCCCAAAGTCAGAATCACCGCTCGCGCCAGTTACTGACGTTATGTGCGTTTTTGTGTCCCAAGCTGAATTGAAGTTGCAGTTTGGTCAGGCAGTATTGCTATAGAGGCAGCATCTGGTTAATTTCGAGATGAATAGTTTGGTCCTAGTGAAGAAGAGGTTAAGCACAAGGTCACTTCACGGATCAGTCAGAATACTTACACATGGTGGTATCGTCAACTATTTTCAGGCGGCCGCATACGCCTCGACTACTGTGCACAATGTCTACGCAGCCGCCCAGCTCACTGCCAAGCCTTAAGGGGGCTCCCTCTTTTTATTTTTATTTTTATTTTTATTTTCTTTTTTATTGTTTTTTTTTTCCTCGTTGATTCTCATTCAAACTGGCGCGGATGTCAAATTCAACATTTTGACTGTCAGCATGTCGCCAGACCGGTAACTCTAGACATATTGATCTTGCCTCTTTAGCTCTGATCGCCGTTTCTGTACTACTGTGAGGCTTGGAACTAGTTTTCTTCTCAAGAGAAAAAGCAAATTATATGCTTTTGTTGGATTTTGCTTGGTTGAGTATTAAACAGGACCAACTTCAAGAAGTATCTCCTTTTTGACGCCACCGAGAACAATTGCATCTTCTCCAACCGACTTCGCGTTCACCGCGGGACATGTTTATATGCAGACTCCCGCCGGGGCAGCTCCTATATTCATTCCCATGCATACACGATCCAACAGCGGGTCGAATTTGGGTATCACAAAGACATATTCTTTGTTCATCCCAAACTACTCGAAAAGACGTGCAGTTCTGAACCTCCCGAGGGGACGCTAACGAAAGGTCAGCATTGAAACCTGCAAGCAGAATCCCACGGTAATTTCAGCTACCCCATCCCGCGAGGCTATTGAGCCGATGGATCTTTTTCCGAACGTCCTGAGATTCAGCTGTTATCCAATCATTTGGCAACATGGTATATCGAGCACAAGCACAAGCGTCGTGGGAATACTGGGCCGGGTAATTTCCAACCCGTCGGGATATCGAGAGGAGTTGCTGCAGTTCGGAACGCCTCGCGGGTAGCTGACGAGGCTCCATCGACGCAGCAGCCGAAAAGGTGCATTTGATACTACCCGGTGAGTCCAACCGATGACCTTTCCTTCCGTTCACCGTCTGTTGTAAACTACGGGGTTTGACCTGTGGACCGCCCGAAGAATCCGGTGAAACCTTTTCGAACGTACTAAGTACACCAGCATAGGCTCAAAATTGACCGATATCTAGGAAAACCAACGAAGCCGGCAAGTCCCACAGCACGTCGGCAACTTCGCACCAGTCCAAATATGGTAATACGAGCATCGATATTGACGTCCGCATCAAGGTTACCGGCCACCGTGTCACTGCTACAAACCTCATTTGCGGGTTTACGTAGTTGGTGCTGTAACACTGCCGGTAGCTATGGCGGTTAAATTGAAAATTGTGCGGAATTGACGAGGAACAATTGATACGGATACGTTCTTGATTGGTTGCGAAGGAATGTTTTATCTGCCTCCTGAAATGGGAGCGTGTGGAGAACGTGATAGATACCAAGAAGCAGGGAGCCAAGAGGGCAATGCAAATCAGTCAGGTCCACTTTGATCATGATGTACTGACAGTGAGATATGTTGATGCTAGTATTCATGTAAGAGATGACAAGGATAACAGGGAATTTTTACCAAGCTAGTAACATGGGTCTGTAATCAATGGAGCTGAAGAAGCTAGATACTTGATCATTTTGAAGGCTGTGGCTCCGGATGCATATTCTCCGCTGGAATGTCCGATAGCCGCCTCCTTTTCAGCTGGGTGGATATTGATGCTCGAAGGAGCACAGAGATGCGTTCATATATAGTCATGTGGGAGAGAATATTTAAACGCCTCTCTTCCCCCCCGATGGACCTGTCTTTTCCCACCACCAACAGATCTCGATCACCACCACAGAGTCCGTCGTGCGCAGTCAAGAAATCAAATTTACAAGTGCTCTTTCAGATATTACAGTTTTTTGGGGCTTAATCACGGAGGCTCCTAATCTTTTACTCCCTACGAACGAATATAACCGCTTGGCAGGCCGCAGAACATCTACTGCAATGTCGTCTCTCAACAACGAGGAATGGGATTTGCTCATCTCAGGAAAGAAAGCTACACTTCAATATCCTATTCCACTATTATGCTACCCTGCCCCTGAGGTTGTTTCAATTGCTCAGATAATTGATCACACCCAGCTCTCGCTCTCCGCCACCGAGTCTCAAATTGACGCCTTGTGCGCTGAAGCGAAAGAATATGGTTTTGCAACCGTATGTGTCAGGCCGGACTATGTCTCTCGGGCAGTTCAATATCTTCAAGGAACCCAAGTTGGAGTGACATGTGTGATTGGATTCCATGAAGGGACGTATTCAACCGACCAGAAAGTGAGCGAGGCGAAACGTGCCATGCAGAATGGAGCCAGCGAATTGGATATGGTGATGAACTACCCTTGGCTCAGCGAAAAACGCTATACCGACGTATTCCAGGATATTCGCGCGGTGAGACTTGCTGCAAAGGACGCGATTTTGAAGGTCATTCTCGAGACATCCCAGTTGACCGCAGATGAGATTATCGCCGGGTGCGTACTCTCGAGTCTCGCAGGTGCAGACTATGTGAAGACCAGTACGGGTTTTAACGGTCCTGGTGCGAGTATTGAAAATGTTTCGTTGATGAGTGCTGTCTGTGACAGCTTACAATCGGAGACCAGGGTGAAAGCCAGTGGCGGCATAAGGACAATCGAAGATTGCGTGAAGATGGTTAGGGCAGGAGCAGAGAGACTAGGCGCAAGCGCTGGTGTGAAGATCGTGAATGAAACTCGGCTGGGAAACCGTCAAGTGGATGAACCCATGGAGCCAACAAACTACTGAACGCCCGTCCGATATCTCCGACTTAAGAAAGAATGGCCAATGAATCGACCAATTCGATTACGGGCGCTGCTTCAGAATATTACATAGCTGCCGTATGTAATAGCCTACTTAATAACACGCTGACGATGTCCTTGACGGTTCCCCCTAGGAGTGTTGTCCCCCGCTTGGTTAGATGCTATACAAACTAGGGCTTGGGTTATCACGTGATAAAGTTAGATCGACATTGTTCCCCCTTCGTGGTCTAGAATCATAGCTCAAGAACTTGCAATTCACTCTAATTTCAATCTCTGCAAATCATATAAAAGCGTTGGCCAAGCCGATTTTGCCGATTGATATTTCCCTACTTGTTAAATCTCCACTCTTGAACCAGTACGGAGTAGTTAAGCGTTGATTTAGCAATGCATAAATCGAAGGTCTGGAGACCACGTTCCTATGCGTCGTATGATGGCAATTCGCCAATGACTAATTCTAGACTTACTACAGAAGCGGAAAGTCTCTCACGATGTGAATTCAGAGACTAATGGAGATATACCAGACACATCTAGGCCAACTGCCGTATTCAAACCCCAGGGTGGGAGATCACATACGCTAAGCGTCGCTCTCCCTGGCAGTATTATTGCAAAGTATGTCTTCTTGTTGACTATATCTACCTAGATGGAAACTAGTCTTCTTACAATTCTGACATAAATTCTTTCGTGAAGCGCAAAATCGCATGATCAAAAGACCTATCTTGTCGGCTCCATCGCCCGCGCATTAGCTGTATTCTGCGTCGATGAAATCATCATATTTGAAGATGAGCCGGAGTCGCAACAGTCTGGACATCGCTCCCGCGCTGAAAATGAGTACACAGCGTTCTCGGATCCGTCACACTTTTTAGCACATGTGCTTTCCTACCTCGAAACACCGCCGCATCTACGGAGGGATTTGTTCCCCATGCACCCTAATCTGAGAACAGCGGGGACATTACCGAGTTTGGACATGCCACATCATATCAGGGCAAACGAATGGTGCGAATATCGTGAAGGAGTTACGATACCGAGCGATAACTATGGCGCAGAAGATGGCCCGTCTGAGAGAAGCAACAAAAAGAAGAAAAGCAAGAAGTCCAAGCGAAACCAGCAGGGAGGGGAAGAACATGAAAATTGCTCGTCCAATAATACATTTACCCTTGTGAACACAGGAATCCCAGAGCCAGTCCGCATTCCCAATCTTTCTATCCAACCTCACACCCGCTTAACCCTCAAATTCAAAACCCAAGACTACTCCGACGGCGCCGATCCGGTAGCACCGTCTACCCCTCGCGAAGAAGCAGGCTATTACTGGGGCTATTCAATCCGTCGCTGCACGTCACTATCCTCTGTATTCACCGAATGCCCATTCGAGGGTGGGTACGACTTGTCCTTCGGTACGTCGGAGCGTGGCCTGCCGCTTGCCCACGTTTTACAACACCCGGAGCAAATTCCGCAATATAAGCACTTATTGCTTGTTTTCGGGGGCGTGGCAGGGTTAGAGACGGCTGCAAAGGCCGATAAAGAGCTGGCGGCGAAGGGGATCGGGGCCGGAGAAGTTGGAGAATTATTTGATTTTTGGGTAGATGTGCTGCCGGGGCAGGGGAGTAGGACGATTCGGACCGAAGAAGCGGTTTGGCTAGGATTGATGGGGCTGCGGGAGGTGGCCGTGAGCAAGGGCACCTAACTGGGAATGGAACGATCTACGGGGTGTGCCGGCTGCTGAAGCAATACTTACCGCTTTGCCTACCCGGGGGCCCTATGACACCAATCAGACCATGTTTTTGGATAGACACATGATCTGATCCGGATTCGGAATATTTTATGCAAATTTCGAAGATTACGATCATGGCTTGAATTGGAGTATTACCAGGACAACGGGGCGTCTATTCATTTGGGATTACCCTTTTCATCATGTTGATTCCCTTGTATCTCTTTTTTTTCCATCCACCCATCCTAACGCCGTTTAGCCTATTGTACACCTGTTACCCGAGAATCAAAGCCTGTCCAAGAAGCGAATCCGCCAAAATTAGGAACCGTATGTACTCTATAATTGCACTGCCTCCTTTCAGGCCTTCTTAGTCCTCACTGCTCATCTCATCGCCTCCACTCGTGTTCTCATCATCATCTTCCTCTTCCATTTTTCTAATGACCACGTCACCATTCTTTCCCCGTTTCTCAGCCTCAAACCACGCTTCTCTACGCTTCAGAGCTTTCTCTTCTTTCCCGCCCTGCCTCTTCAGCTTTAACTGCTCTGCTCTCTCGCGCTCGTCGAGGAGCTCATTGGTTAAATCTTCAAGGCCAGTGGCATACGTCCGAAGCTTGACAATTTCAGTTATGTTGGCGTCACGGGTGGATTCGTGGACGGAGAGCTGGCGTCTGAGGGCTTCAACTTCTTGTTCGAGGGAGGAGAGGCGTGACTGGTCTTCTGAGTGTGATCGTCCGCTAAGTTGGACTTGGTTTTGCGTTAACGAGCTTACTGGGGCTGTGCGGAGGGCACGTAGTTCCACCAGACCTTCGGATATCAGAGAATTTGGAAAGAATTGATGGGCAAGGGCAGCTGTAAATTCATCCCCGGCGATTGATGAAGCGTCAGGCAAGGAAGATGATGTGAAATGGGCAGTAAATGAGTAACTTGCGGGAACGGCATCTCCAAGAGACTGTGTACTCGAAAGCTCGGGATCATACCGCGGCTTGACAACATTATGAACGGCTATTCTGTGGCCAGATTTTGGTAGTCCGACCGGTCGAAGCATCTGTAGATTGGTGACTGGATAATTGAATGTGGTGACAGTGGATGCGAATCTGCCTTTGGCGACATCCCAGGAAACCACTGCACCACCCCTGTGCCCCGAAAGAAGGTTGGTTGCGTCATACGATAGTGTAAGGCATTCTACAGCTCCAAGATCTGTCGAGGGTGGCAGCCACCGGTCACTGGCGGATAACTGGGAAGGAGTTTGCTGCTGGCTAGCATCATAAAGAATGTGCTGGGTAGAAGGGTTCGTAAAGAAGTCAATGAGCTGGGTGCTGCCGTCGTCATAACCAACATAAAACGCTCGATCGGCGGGATCAACCGTAAGGCAGAGTGGGTTTCCAGGGAGGAGAAATGTCCGTAGTATCTTTCCTGTTCGGTATTCCCAGACAATTGCCGTCTTATCTTTGGAAGCGGATATAGCAATGTTGTTCCTATTAGAGCTATGTCCAACGGCAATGCTTGTGATCGCCGCAGAGTGGCTAGAAATAGTGTGAATCGGCGAATTAGAAGGGGATAGGTTTTGCCCAGCAGAATGGGGTTTCGAGAAGGAGATCAGGCTGGGTAGCGACCACACGTGTATGCTTCCATCTTCGGAGCCGGATAGGATGAAGTTATTCGTCGGGTCAACGACCAGGGAGGTAATGGGTTGCAAATGCGCTGCAGGGGTAGAAACTTGTCGTCCGGTGCATACCTGATACAAAACGTCAGCAAGGCCCTTCCTGGATAAATGTAAACCTTGAAATATATCGCACCTCCCATAGGATTAGCCTTCCGCCTTCGGTCCCTAGTACCAATACCGCAGCTCCCTCGGTCTCTTTACCCGCAATTGCAATGCTGCGTATCCGTTCGGGAAATGGGATCGTGGCTTCTTGGTTTCCCCGTTCTCGGCTATACACATGGATCACAGCCTTGCCCACCTGGGCAGCAAATATGTGTGAGGCACTGACGGCTAAACAATTGGCATCTGTAGAGCTTTTCTTCAAGGTCGCGCGTATGGAAGAATTTGGCTGGAATTCGTAGGTGCAGATACCGACATCTTTGAGAACCGACGAGGAGGCCGCCGGGGGGGCATTGGATGTCAGTAATGACGCAACAAAACTCTCGGAGAGCATTACAACTCCGGATCAGCAGTGCAGACTTCAGATGTGCGAGGTGGTTAAAGGAGCGCCGCCGACGTTCACCTATTCCGTCGCAAAAGTTGAAGGTGATAGAAGTTTGCATTGTTTGCACAGAGTTCTCGGTTTCGGATTATCGATCATCCGCTGTCCACCACCTTCAACGCGCGTTTCTACTTCCTGTGATGTACGAACTACGCCATCTGGGGTCATTTTACTTGACGCTGTACGGAGTAATTCTCAAACGAAAGAGCATACTCCGTACGGAGTAGATATTTGAACGGTTGGCGCGATACCAAATAGGTAACGTTGCGTTGGGGAACCCCCTGGAACAAGTATTTTCCGCGCGCTTCGAATCGGAGCTCAGCAATTTCGCGAACAACAATTTGTGACTGGACGACGAACACGGTTTTCAATCGAGAAAAGGCCCAGGGCTATCTAGATACGCGTTTTCCGATTCCCATATTCATTAAATCTACGGAGTGCTCGTCTCCAAGTTCAATCATGGCAGTTTGTGCCGGCAGACTAAAGTGCTTCGGTAATCCCGCCGTTTCGCTCCGCACTGCCGCATCCAGAGCATATGCAACGACGACATCTCCAGACCCAGCTATCCCTAGTTCTTCGAGCGCATCCTCTTCATCTGCTCTCCCTAAAAGACCGCAGACATCGTTTCGAGACAAACTAAACGCCGGTCCCTCATTCTCCGACTTTCTCTCTGGAGGGAATAGAGACGACGCCCGCATCCTAGACCCCAATGAAGCATATGCGTTAAAAACGGCGCTCGTCGGGCCCAAGGGCAAAAAGAAAGAAATCACTCGTTTGCCATCGTGGCTCAAGACTTCTATCCCAGATTCGAATAATTACAAACGTATTAAGAATGATTTACGTGGTCTCGGCTTGCATACTGTTTGCGAAGAAGCCCGGTGTCCTAATATATCAGAATGTTGGGGTGGAAGCTCGAAATCGGCTGCTACGGCTACAATTATGCTTATGGGAGATACGTGTACAAGAGCTTGTCGATTTTGCAGTGTGAAGACATCCAAGACTCCTCCGCCGTTGGATCCTCATGAACCGGAAAATACGGCGGAAGCGCTGTCGCGATGGGGGTTGGGATACGTGGTTTTGACGACTGTGGATCGAGACGATTTGATAGATGGTGGTGCGAGACATTTCGCGGAGACGGTGATAAGGATCAAGCAGAAAGCGCCAAATATTTTGGTTGAGTGTCTCACGGGAGACTACGCTGGTGATCTGGAGATGGTTGCACTCATGGCAAAGTCCGGACTAGATGTTTATGCGCATAACGTCGAAACCGTAGAGGCACTGACTCCGCACGTCCGTGACCGCCGGGCAAATTTTCAGACGAGTTTACGGGTGTTGAAGGCTGCGAAGGCAGCTGTCCCATCACTCATCACCAAGACGTCGATGATGCTAGGGCTAGGAGAAACGGAAGAGCAGATGTGGGACGCTCTTCGGCAGTTGAGAGCCGCTAACGTCGACGTTGTGACCTTCGGACAGTACATGCGCCCCACGAAACGACATATGCCAGTGCACGAATACGTACGGCCGGACGTCTTCGAATTGTGGAAGGATCGAGCGCTGGAGATGGGATTCCTGTATTGCGCGAGTGGGCCGTTGGTGAGAAGCAGCTACAAGGCTGGCGAAGCGTTTATCGAGAACGTCCTGAAGAAGAGACGAGCCGAATCAACAGGTCCCGAGAGTACGAATGTACCGAATGTGACTCCCGATGCAATAGTCAGATAAAAAAAAATTTTTTTTTTATTTTTTTTTAGGGAAGGCCACCGGCGTTTAGGAGTTGGAATCATTGTTTTGGCTTCAACCCTGGTACAGCTCCCTTACCAACTTCAACAAGATGGTTTGTGACTATCCAAATTCAATTTTTTTCTGTTTCATTCCCTCCCAAAAAAATTAATAATGATGCACATAATCAATAGCCAAAAAAATGGTTGGTATCATGTTTCATTGTACTGTTTGATTTTGCGAACCCTGCCCCTTGCACCTACCAGGTATCTCTCCCAAAAGAAACCGGGGCCAGGATCCATGTAGGAAATGTTGCAAGCCAAGCGACTTGCGGTTCTGATCATCCGCCAGCCTTGGGCTTACTCCTTAATCAGCTCCTTAATATCTCTTTCACTTAGACCCATCAGATATAAGATGTCAACTAAACTTTCTCCATTCAGTCGCGTTGGTGCCTCCATTTGCACCTTGCTCTTGGCGCGCCAGGCCACCCCCAACCCCGCCTCATTAAGCATGAGCAGGTCATTGGCGCCATCTCCTACTGCCAACGTCTGCGATATCTGTATATCGTTGTCAGCAGCAATTGTGCGTAGGAGGTTCCTCTTTTGCGTAGCATCGATGATTGGGTAGTTGGGAGACAATGTGCCTGAGAGAGTTTGGGTGGAGTCGTCGGACACGAGCTGTAAAAATAACTATCAGCCCAATTGACCAGGTTTCGTAACCTGTTTCAACGTACGTGGTTCGCGAATGCATAGTCAAGGCTGAGTTCCTTTGCAAGCCACTCGGCCAACGGCTGAAAACCGCCACTCAACACCGCCATCTTGAACCCGAGCCTTTTCAACGCACGGCAGAGTTCACGGGCACCGGGTGCGATCGTAATAATAGATTTTAGTTTCTCGAATACGTCGGCTGGAACTCCTTTGAGCAAGCTAACTCTCGCTTTCAGAGAGGCCGAGAAATCGAGTTCGCCATTCATGGCGCGTGCAGTGATTTCCTGTTTATCCCTGTCAGTTTCAATATCGGACGTGAGACAGAAACTCTACGTCGACGTACTGAAACTTCTTTCTCCACACCGATAAACCTGGCGATTTCATCAATAACTTCCTGTTTTATTAGAGTGCTATCCATATCAAACACGGCGAGCCGCTTATGGCGCCTAAACACTGATTCCTGTTGGAGGACTACTTCAACGTTCCATTCGCGTTCAAATCTCCATATAAACTCATGCTTGCGCATATCATCAAAGGATAGATAATCTGGACTGGGCGGCGGGCAGATTGTGACCTCGACCACGCGTGGCTGATCTTCGCTATCAAGACATCTATGCGAGCTGCTCATGCGGTGATACGGGGTGGAGAGATCCTCCATAATCTGCAGGAAATTGGTAAGACATAATTGCGACACATACGGGCCGTACAGATGATCCAGAGGCTCGGGTTCCTGTGGCGGGGGCTCGCGTGGAAGCTCTTCGACATTCTGCGTCGGGGCAGAGCCTTCGGGCACGGACGGGGCTGGTAAATCCCGGAGAGAGTGTGGCTGCCTAGAGGAATCCGGGTGGATATGCGGGTGCACTGGCTGCGAGGCCTTGTAGAATATCGTGGCAACCAGCTTGGGTGTATCTGCGGGCAAGGAGCTGAGCGAGTTGCTAAAAATCGAATGCACGATCCCACTCTCCTTGACTCGCGCGTCCTTGCCCTGTGACAGGCTGCCATTGAGAACAAGTGGGGCCGTAAGAACATTTCCAGTGCTGCGCAGGAGGTTGCTGAAACCGGAGGGTCCCGAGGGAGATGGCTTGTATTGTTGGTGGTCCAGGATGAAAGAGCCGCCAGACAGCGAGCTATGCCGTAATACGGGGCGTCCCTCGCGGGAAGGGAGGGGAGTGCTCGCCATTTCTTCACGCCCCCGCGGATAACTTCGGGGAGAGGACGGTGACGGTGGTGGTGGTGATGCGGAAGGGCAAGTTTCTTCGGGCAGCGAGCGCAAGGTCGCGCGGGTTAGTTAGTCTGGGGAATATTTCGGGAGCTGGAATTGATGTTACTTATTGATTATTCAGGCCTGCTGCTGCTGCTGCACCCCCATTCCATAAAAGCGCAACGTAAAATAGGGTAAAACCAAAAAAAAAAAAAAAGAGGGCCATTCAGGGAAGCTTTGCAAGATTAGCGCTATCGCTTTCCCCTCCTCTCCCCCCCCCCCGGGCGCCTGCACCGGTTATGCGCACGAAACGTTTCTTCTCGCCACCGGGTTATGTAAACCCCCACGTGCCGGCGAAAAGGAATTCCCGATCCCGGATCTGACTCAGCACTGCGCCCATGACTAAGGTGCGGATCCCTGCACCGCCGGCCTCGGGATCGCCTGCGCTCGACGACGTCGATCGTCGCGGACGGTTACATTGCTCGAGCTGCCGGCTTGCAGCCTTTTTGCTTGTTTGAGATTGCATGTGTGTCATTTGGGCGTGTATCTATCGACCAGGTCTGCGCCCTCGTGCCGAAATTGCTGATCCGCCCCCCGAACATGAAGCCGAGAATCCTCTTGGCTGTGCTGGTCAGACGCATTGGCAGTGTCAGGGATCCTACCGCTGACCACGCCTCCCTGCAAGCACTTTCTTCAACCTTCCACCGTGCATGGATTGCCGGTGGGAACTGGGGAAACTTGAGGCAGACCGGGCACGGTAACAGCCATCTGCGTACCCAACCTGCAGAATGTTCTTTATGGATTCTTTTTGCTTACTCCTTCGGGTATCGCCCGCGCTAAGGATTGCGTGATTTTCACTGGCCATCACCACATCAGACCCTAGCTGCGCCCCCAGCGCAACAGTGCGTCCTCCCCCAGCCAGAAATATGTTTCCAGCATGGGGTGTAAGGATTCAGGGGATTGTGTAAGATTAATACTGCCTCCCAGGAAGGTGTCTTTACAGGAGGGTCACAGATTGCGTGATTGGTAATCACCAAGTCCCCCTTCCCTGATATCCTGAATTGTGCATGAAATCATTGAAGTAGAGCGCACTTCCTGTCCTTCCGTGCCTCTACAAACTGTTTTTTCTCCCTCCTTTTCTTTGTCTTGCCTGCTTTGCCTAGATTTTACTTTCTGTCACAAGTGGCCAATCTCCACTCTATCCCCATCCCCAAACCCTTTCTCTAGTCAGTAAAGAACCAGAGGCTTCGGTCCTTTGGTTCGCCCATAACACCGCCAAGATTCAGTCCAACGCCCAAACTTCCCTCATCTCCTCCCACCCCTTCAGCAGACTGTTCAGCCTCTTCTCGTCTGCCGTTGGATTCATCATGCCTGCCTCTGTCCACTCCACGTACCCCTCGGACACGGACACCTGCGATATCAAAGAAGCAGAGTCTGGTTATGTCAGTGGTGACTCGAGCCAGCCTAGTCTTCCGGACCTCGTCTTCACGAAGCCCCATTTGAAGTTCTTGAACAGGCAGCTTCAGTTTCTCGAACCCCAAGGTATGAGCCGTCTATTTCTTTTGGCCCTCGGCGGGTGTCTCCCAATGGTAAACTGGGCCCTCTATTGACTTTCCTCGTTAGATGTCTTGAGATGGTGCATCACCAGCCTTCCGGGACTCTATCAAACCACCGCCTTTGGACTGACTGGTCTGGTCACAATTGATATGCTCTCAAAACTCGATGTTCCCAGACCGCAGGTTGTTGATCTGATCTTTCTCGACACACTCTATCACTTCCCCGAAACTCTTGCTCTGGTTGAGCGGGTCCGGAAGCGATATCCAAGCCTTAGCATTCATGTCTACAAGCCACAGGGCGCCGAAACTGCTGATGAATTTGCTGCGAAATACGGAGACCGACTGTGGGAGACCAACGACCAGCTGTACGACTGGCTCGCCAAAGTCGAACCGGCCCAGCGTGCCTATCGGGAACTCCAAGTAAGCGCAGTGCTTACTGGCCGTCGTCGAAGCCAAGGAGGAAAGCGCGGTGACCTTAATATCGTCGAGGTTGATGAGGCTGGCCTTATCAAAATCAATCCGTTTGCCAACTGGGGCTTCCAGCAAGTCAAGGACTACATCACCACCCACAATGTTCCGTACAACGAACTTCTCGACCGGGGCTACAAGAGCGTCGGAGACTGGCACTCGACACAACCCGTGAAAGAGGGCGAAGACGAGCGTGCCGGTCGATGGAAGGGTCAGGCCAAGACGGAATGCGGCATCCACAACCCCCGATCGAAGTACGCACAGTTCCTTCGAGAACAAGAGATGAAGAGGCAGCAGGAAGCACTGGACCAAGCTCTTCAAGGCGCGGACAAGGCGTAGTTGAAGCGGCGGTTGGGTCATGTGCAAATGTGCTTTATGGAATTTCCCTGTGTTTTTACATGTTTACTATCATGATTTGCTCCTGCGGAATCGGCGTTATAGATCTCCTGTTGTTTCGTTCTGTCTTTTTTCTTTCTTCTTTTCTTCTTCTTCTTCTTCTTCTTCAGCTTCTTCTTTTTACTTCTTCTCATTCTTCTTATTCTTCTTCTTTTGCGACTACCCCTGAGTCTGATTGCTTCAAATGTTTCTATCAAATAGATTATTCACACCCTCAGCAACCCATGTTACATAGTTGCACCATAGCATAAATTAAAATAGTTCACCCCTTGTCTACTTCTCAGGAACCTGTCTAGATCCTTTGTCGCTTCCAGACTTGTTCTTACTATGACCCTTCAGCTGGCAGCGATCTGAACACCACCCCCCCCCCACCCCCCCACCAAATTGACCAGCTATGACGCGGCAGCCTTATCTCAGAGCCGATGCGCCCGCTCCAAGAGACAAGGTTCTCACAGTTGCTGCATCAAGCAGAACGCCCAGCCTGCGCTTCGTATGGAACCGTATCAGCAGCAGTTTCATTGCTCATTAGGAACATCATTATAGAGACGTCTCAGGGTACTCGGCAATAATTGACATTCGAACCGATAAAGCTACCGACATACGATACGATGCCTATGGTCAAACAAAAATAAATCAAACACAGGGAAAAAAAAAATAAAAATAAAAATAAAAAGCACAAGGGTGCGTAGTGAACAGCCATGCCAGCCATGCCAAAAGGATTCCTCAGGTCAATTCAAGCAACTATTACTTTACTCCACAATCTAATCGATAAAAAAAGAAAGAAAAATGTGAGGATCGAGGCAGCGAAGTTAGGTCCTCTTGACAAGTCGCGAACTAAAACCACCCATGTCAGCCTGACGCCGATCACGCAATTTTTCTTCAGGGTGACGGTAGCCCATGCGGCGAGGGCATTTTTAGTTTCGTCGATCCGCGTGGAAATAAGAAACGTTCCTGAAACTCAGCAGCCAGCATGAGATTGCTTGCTAAGATCTGTGCGCTATATTGGCAGGGGTCAGGCACGTTTCCAATCTGCGTCCGGTTTGATTATCTATCGACCCGAGTCATGTATGTAACTGAAGCTTACGGTCAGAGAGGTTACTTCGGGCAGTGTGGCCTCTTTTTCGTTTCTGAACATCGGGGGCGGGTTCGAAGGTTCGCCCACTGCCCGCCCAGCCAGCTAACTGACTTGCTTCACGGGAGCGAGATCGTCGGCGGTCGGCCTTGGTCTGGGGTCGCGGTTTGACCGGGTTACATCATACCTCTGCAAGCTGAAGCAGCCTTCATCTCCAACACACCCAGGCACCCGATCCAGCCATTGGCCTGTTGTCCCCTTGTTCCCTGGAAGACCACCGATGGAGTTATGTGAGAAGGACAGATGATACTACTTCGTACCTTGAGGGGGGGAATGGTTGGGAGTGATTTTGAGAACCTAGTTCGGTCCCTTAGCTCAAACCCGATGCATTGTCGATGCTCCCTCATGGAGAGGGCGTATCCACCCCAGGGTCAGAGGAAATAGTGTCATCAGGGTCTGAATTGACGACGACAGAGCCTTGCCATGGGTCGTAACTTTCTGTCTTTCCCCAGAGCTACTTTTCTAGAACATATATCATAGCTTCGCCTGCTTTGTTTCTCTCGCTTTTCTTTTCTTTTTCATCTTCTTTTCTCCAGCTCTCCTCTTTTCCTCCATCGGTGCTCTCAACGCTCTCCTCTCTTCATAAACCTGCCTCGTCTCTACCAGATCTCGATTCATCCAACCTTAAGCTTTTTTTTTTTATCAAGAACCGAGTGTATTCTGCAGCAATGGCCAATCCACCACACGGCGGTATCCTTAAGGACCTCCTCGCTAGAGATGCACCGAGACACGCTGAGCTCGAGGCCGAGGCCGAAACCTTGCCCGCTCTCCTCCTCACCGAGAGACATCTCTGCGACTTGGAATTGATTCTCAACGGAGGTTTCAGTCCTTTGGAAGGTATACACCCCGCCACTTTTTTTTCTTTTTTTCCTTAAAACCACCCCCCTGGGGATCAGCCGTTCGCATATGCGATGATGTTGTGCACAAATGGAAACAAAAAAGCTAATGGTGGGGCGTAAAATGCTAAACAGGGTTTATGAATGAGAAGGACTACAATGGGTATGTCAAACCATCTTTTCATTGTTAATCCCTGTCCTTGTAAGTGTGATGATCTGACTGCGGTGTCCTGCAGTGTTGTTGAGAACGTTCGTCTCGCCGATGGAAACCTCTTCAGTATCCCCATCACCTTGGATGCTTCCAAGGAGACCATCGACGGTCTTGGGCTCCAGCCCGGTTCTCGTGTGACCTTGAGAGATTTCCGAGATGATCGCAACTTGGCCATCCTGACCATCGATGACATCTACCAACCTGACAAGTGAGTCTTTTCCGTCTCCTCGTGAAGCATTTGAACAAAAGCTCCTTCGACCATGCCACGGCATACTGAGACAATATAATAGGCAGAAGGAAGCAAAGGAGGTCTTTGGAGGAGACCCTGAGCACCCTGCCGTCAAGTATCTCTACGACCAGACCAATGAGTACTACATTGGAGGAAAAGTTGAGGCCGTCAACAAATTGAACCACTACGACTATGTCGGTCTTCGATGTAAGGACGCACCCTCAAACCGCTTGCAGGGCCATCTGCTAATTTTCATTTAGTCACTCCCGCAGAGTTGCGCCTGCACTTCGACAAACTCGGCTGGACCAGAGTTGTCGCATTCCAGACCAGGTATGGCTTTCCTATCGTCAGTTAAATGCTGCAACCTCAATGCTAATTGAAACATAGAAACCCCATGCACAGGGCTCACCGTGAATTGACTGTCCGTGCTGCCCGTGCGCGCCAGGCGAACGTTCTTATCCATCCAGTTGTTGGATTGACCAAGCCCGGTGACATTGACCACTTCACCCGAGTGAGAGTTTATGAGGCTCTCCTTCCCCGCTACCCCAACGGAATGGCCGTCCTCGGCTTGCTTCCTCTTGCCATGCGCATGGGTGGCCCAAGAGAAGCCATTTGGCACGCAATCATCCGCAAGAACCACGGTGCTACTCACTTCATTGTCGGTCGTGACCATGCTGGTCCAGGAAAGAACTCCAAGGGTGAAGAGTTCTATGGCCCCTATGATGCCCAGCACGCCGTCGAGAAATACAGACATGAGCTTGGAATCGAAGTTGTTGAATTCCAGCAGCTCACCTACCTTCCCGACACCGATGAATATAAGCCAAGAGACGAGATCCCCGCTGGCGTCAAGACGCTGGATATCAGTGGAACTGAGCTTCGCAAGCGCCTACGCCTTGGTACCCACATCCCCGAGTGGTTCTCCTACCCAGAGGTTGTCAAGGTCCTCCGGGAGTCCAATCCTCCTCGATCGAAACAAGGTTTCACAGTGTTCCTCACTGGTTACCAGAACAGCGGCAAGGCCGCGATTGCCCGTGCCCTCCAGGTGACTCTCAACCAGCAAGGCGGACGCTCCGTCTCTCTTCTTCTCGGCGATACCGTGAGACACGAACTTTCTGCTGAACTCGGCTTCTCCAGAGAGGACCGCCACAAGAACATCCAGCGTATCGCTTTTGTTGCTGCTGAGCTTACCAAGGCCGGTGCTGCCGTCATCGCCGCACCAATTGCTCCTTATGAGGAGAGCAGACAACAAGCTCGCGAGACTATCTCCTCTGCCGGGACCTTCTTCCTCGTCCACGTTGCAACCTCGCTCGAGTACGCCGAAAAGACCGATAAGAGAGGTGTCTATGCCCGCGCCAGACGAGGTGAGATCAAGGGTTTCACCGGTGTTGATGACCCATATGAAACCCCCCAGAAGCCGGATATCACCGTCGATATTGAGAAGCAAACCGTGCGCAGCGCCGTCCACGAAATTATCCTGTTGCTCGAGAGCCAGGGATTCTTGGAAAAGGCTTGAAGAGCCCCGAACTGAGTGCGAAAGTTACCCCCTGTAGGACCATCGTTCGGAGTTGCTACAAAGTTACGGCTGAAATACCCGGATAGAACGTTTTGTACACAATTGATATGCCGTTTTGCATGATCGGGTTTTTGAAAGTTAGACTAAATATCATGAGTTTAGCAAGATCAAATGTCATGTTGTTTTGTGAGGAATCTCTCAACTAGTTAGTCTTTTAATCTTCTGTAAAAAATTTTCACGTGGCTTTCTCAGGAACGGGGAGGCTAGAGCGGGTGGCGCTTGTTGGAAGTTCGAAACTGGCCTTACGAGACCCACCAGATCTAACCCGTAGAAGTATAGCTGTTCGGATTATCAATCCTCCGGAATTGTCCAGTGTGGCTCGTGCATGCAGTGCAAACGGTGCAAACCCAAAATGCCTCCACACTGAACTGTCGGGCTGCAACGTCAGATTTCGATTTTTGCTGATGTCCTTTCAGAGGCATCCACCATTGAGACAGAATGATGCCTCCACAGCTATATCTACGGCGGATACCACGCCTAATACGCCCACTGAGACCTCCAAGCAACCATGCCTCCCTCCCGAAGCCCCGCATGTTCACTAGCAACTCCCAACTCCTCCTTATATCTCCACCCGCGAACCGACCGCAACTGCCATTCCTCCACTCACCCGTTGTCCGGCTGTCCCCTTCCCATGCTAGCCGCAGTTTAAATCCCCGTCTTCTTAGCACAGAACGCCGCAAGAAGATCACCGAAGGCATCAAAATTGCCATCACAGCCTATGCTGTCATGGTACTGCTCTACGTGATCAGGCTCGGTCTACAGCAGGAGAAGATCGAGCGCAAGTTCCCCACCCCCCCGGATTTCACGACGTATAGCCGCTGGCTCCTGCGCACTGCTCGGGCGTTGCAGAATCCGGAGTCTGTGGGGCAGGCGATCACTCCGTGGAGGAAAGTTGGGGATTTCTATACGGAGTTGTTGGAGCGGATGGAGAATCCAGAGATTGACGGGAAAGGCTTGAAGGAGCAGGGTGACGGCGCGTTCTTGATTGAGGGCATTGGAAAAACGGGATATGACATTGGAGAGATGAGTGAGTCGTGGAAAATGGGATATTTCCAAGCGCTGATAGGTGCGGCTGAAGCGGCGGAGAAACTGGATGGATGGATGTACGATGAAGAGCTGGACGTTGCTGCGCCGGCAGAATATGTTGTTGGTCCGTCGAATCCGAACCCGAAGCCGCGTCCTATGGGTGGAAACCAGACTCTGAAGGAGGAAAATTGTCGGCCTGCTTACGATAGTCCGGAGGTGTATTATATGAAGATCCTCACGACGAAAGGGTTTCAGACGAATCAAAGACTTGACGCGGCTTTGGCTTATGCGGATTGGCTTGACTTCAAAGGACTCAAAGAGACCGCGGAGGATATGTATAAGTGGGCGATGGATATTGCTGCATCCGGAGTCTCCGTGGACCCAACTGAGGTCGTTGATATGAAGACCGGTGTTTTGAAAGATGATGGAAACAAATATGTCACCGATAATGTGTTACGTGCTATGACTGCTCTTGGCGTCCACAGGGTCCGGCAGGGCGACTTGGCCCCCGCACTATCTATATTCCTATCCGTTCTGAGAGCCCGTCGAAACCTTCCCCAGGCACCTACACCAGAGCATAAAGGCTCGCCAAAAGATGAGTCTGCGATCTCTGAGATTTCCGAAACTATATCCTCCTGGCTCTTCCCACCTCCCTATCCTATCCCTACCATTACAGGAAATGAGCAACCACTTCGATCTGCTTCCACAGCCTGCGATGAAGCCGGTTTGATGATCTATATTGGCGAAATCATGTTTGCTTCTTCTTCACAGGAAAGTGGCCTCGCATGGACCCGCGACGCAGTTGATCTTGCGGAGCTGTCACTCTTGCAGTTAGACGAAACCGAAGCCGGTCCCCACACCTACAGAATGAAATATTCCTCCGACGAAGAACGCTGTCACGACTGCCTACGAACGGGTCTGGATAACTGGCAGAAAATGGTTAGGAAGCTTGTCGTGAAAGCGGAGCAGGAAGAGTTGGACTACATGAATACTGCAAAGGATTCTTGGTTTGGTAGCCGCGCGAAGAAGCTGAAGGAGAAGGAGATGCAAAGGAAGCGCTGGGAAGCTGAGGAAATAATTCTACAGGACCGATCGAAGAGAGTTCAGAGGTTTATCGGTGATCCGCTGCTGGCTGGGTTAGCCCCGAACACAACGATGATGCTGTTTAGCTGATTGCGATTTAATTCTGACTTGTCACATATGATTTTTTTTCTTTCTTCCTTTTTTTTTTTTTTTTTTTTTTTGGCATGCTACTTGGGCTTCGAACAAAAGGCGTTGCTGCGTTTGGAATGGGGATTTGGGGTTGTCATCGTCTTCGTTTGAGATTATCATCATGCTCATAATTGTACAGTACTACATGTCTCATGAATGCACCTACAGCATCATTCCAGCTATCTCGTCACGTTTTCACCTGAGCAGCCTGCTGCTTTGATTTCCATGTGAAGTTCGAGCATTGAGCCAGAATGCGTACCTTGCATATGGTCCCCACCTCAGCGGCGATCCGTATAAATGAGCAGCTTGGATCCCGTTCTGGGATCAAATCCCATATTTCCAATGCTTGACTCTGTACTTCCAATTCCCAAAGCTTTCCGCCAGCGTGGAAGCGAGAAGGTCGGCGCCAAGCCTAGCGGACGCTTAAGTCAGCAGACGGACATGCGCCGAACAGATACGACACCGTGTTATCGCACCCATGCTGATCGGCGTGTGTCTCTCATCGAAAACAATCCCTGGTCATAGCCATCGAGTTTAATCTCGCGGGTACGAAAAAATTACTTAACGATGTACTGTCTCTGGAGTCAGCAGTCATCCCTCGTGGCTTTGATCGCCACTTCACGTTTCTTGTCGTGATCCCTCCCCTGCGCTATTGTAACCCCCTCGTAGCAAGGGCGGTTTTCAAACAGCCTTAACATGCCGACACCGGACAAAGAAAGTCTCTGGCGTCAATCATGCCGGTGCAACGTGCCATGCGCGAGGGGCTGGTGCGGCGTGGGAGCCTGGTTCTTGCCAGGGACGCTGGCATATGCCGGCAGTGAAAACGGGCCGCATCGGATTCCAGGACTGCCTTGTTCGTCTGGAGGTGGGGAGAAAGTGAGCCCCCCAAGGTTCCTCATACCCTGTTGATGCATCGGGAGACCGAGCGAGTACTGAATGAGGCTCTTCATGGGTCAGCATTCTCTATCCCTTTTGCGATACGAGTCGAAATACGGAGCCTGCAGAAAATATTGGCAGCGGTTTGCGAAATGTGAGCTGCATATGTATGTTTCTGTTGGATCACCGGGTGTTACCGGAGGGTTGTTTGACCTTAAATTCGAGGCCACCTGTATACTGTTGTCGATTTTGCGTGGGATATTCGACGGGGCGATGTCTCGCTCTTTGATCTTCCCGATTCCAATGTGCACCAGCACAGTGTTCTGAATCCCTGCCAGGTTGCTCAAGGGTTTTACCGAACCCCAGCTTATTACCAAAAGAAATCCAGGAACGGGCCAAATACTCTGTTCGCATGCTCTGTCTCCTCTGTGCATATCTCCAAACCGGGGCCCGGGCCTGCTGGACGATCGCCGTGGTTTCCCCAGAAAGCATAAGGCCCAATAGGAATTCTTCCGAACCTGATACTGGAAGTTCATATCTCTTCGAGTAGGAAGAACTCCGAATATGCAGTCTTCAAATCCCAGATGTAACGCACAGATATCACCTCGAGATTCAAAGGATAGTGATGATCCGTTTCCTTCCGGATGCATCGGCATTGTGGGAAAGGTACCTGTCATAAGGAACATTTGGAATCATGATTATAAACGGATGCCAGATGGATGTGGACATTTCAAGTTCGGAGATTTATCAATGGAATATCCAGGTGATAACGACCGGCTGGCGATTAAAAACAGTTTTATATCACCGCTGGTCTTTCAAGCATTATCCTTGGTTTTCTACACAATGTGGCCAATGCCAACTGCAGCTCGGCAACTCCTACCAATAACTAGTGGTCTCTGTGCACATTCGGTACGTGGACTTGAACAGTTTTCATTATCATGAAACTGGAAAGACAGTTCATTTCAAGAATGCGATGGGGATGGATCTTGTGCCTGTGTTACCATGCAACCCACAAGGGCCAGGGTGAATCAGTGCCATGCGCCTTCTTGCTCGCATGGCCAAAGTGATCATCACATAGCCCTGTAGGATATGCAGCCCATTGGGGAAGCTGGACACCATGCAATGTTCGGGTCCATTGTTAATCTTCTTTGACTTTTTCCCTTTGTTTATTCCCATTATCTCACTGTTAACAAGGTATATGAGGGGCAAAGCAAGCTTATCACAGAATTTCGGGGATTATGCCTGGAAAATCCTGGTATTGATGAAGTTTCAATGGCCATGTACAATTGATCGTTGATTCTCGAAATTTTTGCGTGCGGTGCACGAAGACACATTGCCAAGCCGCCATCACGCGTCTCAACAGAAGAAACGTGCTTGACATAATACTGATCCACATTGGGTTGACTTGTACACTGACGTTGGTCAGCCATGGAAAGGTGCTTTACAAGAAATCACACAGCGCATACTTCGCCCCATCGACGATAGGATAGAAGTGAAACCGCCGGTGCTCGTGCAAACCAGCAGAAACCAGCAGACAAAGCCCCCTCGCACGAATATACCACGAATCCGACCTCCGATTCCCTTTTCACATCTAGAACAGGCAGCTGAAAAGCTGTGTCTATCTGAACAGTGGAAAACCAGATGTCTTTAACATCTGCGAACAGAGCTACTGCTATCAGAAAGGTGATATGCCAAAGTTTGATCTGATATGACTTCAGGCGCGCGAAGGCCGATCTTGGGACATCAAGTCACACATGATGAATGGAGTCCTTACATACCTAATTTAGGCCTTAGGAACGGTACGTGCCGTTTTTGGGAATGGCCCCAGCGCCCGTCGCCAGTATTGCTCCTTGTTGAGTCCGCTTCTCTATGTCGGTTTGCTTCGAGGACCGCGGACTACACAATATGTCGCCCGCTGCCCAGACTTCCGGCAACCCATGGACGACTGTTGCTAGGGAGAGGTAGGCAACTACGCTGTGGAGTTGGACATATCTCTGAACCGGGCCACTTGCTGGCTATGAGATCATGATAATGTTTTATCAAAATGGGAAGGGCACACAATCGCGAGAACTAAGTTGCGACTCGCTTGGTCGAAAGGTTGCGATCTGCACACCGTAAAACAAAAGTGAAAGATCGCATTTTGTCCCTGCCAGTAATCTCTGTATCAGTGCTGTGACGTACATTTCCCGTTCTTCCTCGAATGTAAACTTATGAACATTTTTAGCAGAACAAAATGTCTCTTAACGAATGCAAAAAATAAAAAATGCCCATCATATCCAATAGCCTATCCAAAGAGCCACCCGTGGCTTCTTATGCAAGATCCAATCCCAAATATGCCTTGTACATTTAGGGGAACAAAAAGATGATAAAAAGGAATGCAACATAAATCATTATCTTCTTTATTTCAGGCCGATTCGTGCGGTGTCAATCGTGCCACGCAATTTTCGAAAATGAAGGAAAACCACAGAAGCCTGAGCTCGTGCTCTTCATCTAGTTGAAACGACTGGGACATAAAACGGGCAAACAGTCGAGGCTGAGACTCAACCACTATCTAGTATCTTCCAATGACCGTGCTCACAGGTCCCTCGTACACTTTCCGTCCCTGAACAAAGTACATGACGAGGCTAGCACACGCAACAGCAAGAAACATGACAACTCCCCAGTTAAAATTATCCACTGTGACAAAACTTTTATTCGGCCAGAAGCACCAAAACAGCGCAAAGATGATGTATAAAAGTGAGATTGCATTCACAATGGGACCGCCTCGTTTCCCGAGGCTCCAGGATGCCGGTGGCAATTGGGCTGGGTGGTAGATTCGTTGGTAGAGAACGGAGCCAACGGAGAAGGCATAAGTGAACATGAGAGAGCCGGCGTAGAGGGAAATGATAGCATTGAAGGCGACTTCAGAACCGATATATATTAACGAGAGAAGGCTAGTGAAGATGCAGGTAAAAAGGATGGAGTTAGTAGGGATATGTTTGGTGTCGTGCACAGCTGCGAGCCATTCTGAGAAGGGAAGACCATGATCGCGGGCGAAAGAGAATGTTTGGCGTGATGCTGCAGCACCATATGTAATGTTACTCGAAAAGACGAGGAGCAAGACCACACCGGCAAGTATAGTCACTCCTGAAGGTGCTAAAGCACCTCCAAAAACATAGAGAAAAGGAAAGGAGGTCGGATTCTCGATAGCAGCGCCAACGGACGGAAGGGCGAAAAGGTAGGTGACCAGGAGAATTATGCCCATGATGCAGTTTATTATATAGCCCCAGGCCATTGCTCGTGGGACATGTCGCGATGCATCTCTCACCTCTTCCGCCATGTGTGCAGTGGCATCTGATGCTATAGACACATAAAATTAGCGTCCATGCAAAAGTCACACAGACCCTTTGGGGTGACTTTACGCATACTTAGCGAACCATAAATTGCAGTAATCTGGCCAACCATTAAGCTGAGCCCAATTGTTGACCATCCTCCCCTATCGGTAAATGCCGTGAAAACCGTCCTCGGGGAGTTGCGTGGTGCCATCGCCCAGAGGACAATGATAACGATCAGGAAGCCCAAAACATGTAGGACCAGGAGAATATTCTGAATCATAGGCATTGCGCGCGCAAACCAAACATTGACAACGTAGATACAGAAGGCCATCGCACACACGAGAAGGGTACCTTGCCATCGCGCTGGTTCGTAGCTTGGACGGTGGAGGATTATCAGGCCTTGAATGAGGGTTCCGGCCAAGAAAGGTCCGGCTGCCGCTCCAGCTTGCCATGCCAGCACTGACATCCACCCTAATAGCCTCGGATTAGACTCGGTATTTAGTCGTCACCGTCAAGAATAATGATGTTAAACTTACCCGTAATATAACTCAGGAACCGCTGATATTTTGGGGAGGCGAATTCAGAAACCCAGTGATACTGTCCTCCGGAAATGGGTGCCCTGGATTCGAGGCATGTCAGCTTCGGGGACCAGCTAGGCGTTATATGAGATGACTCAACTAACATAGACGCCATTTCTGCCATAGAATATACACAAAACCCGAATCCAATGAAAGTCCATACGTAGGACCAGAATAGCCCGGCAACTCCGCCATCATTGAGTCCCTCATGCTGAGAACTGGAAAACATTTAGCGAGGCGGAGGGAGATAAATTTGGCGGAAGTTGATATAAGTAAAGTGCAGGGTCAAAAATACATACAGTAACATGAACTCCCAGGTGGCACCGAGGACTATCGAGAAGCTCAAAGCAGCCACTGGTCGATACATCCTCTATCCAAAGTTAGACATCAAGCCCAAAGTATGCTCACTTCCATGAGGAAGAGCAAGTCAAACGCCTCAGATATGATGCCATGACTGGCATAATGTCCGAGGCAAAAGAGATGTAGATTGAACGAACCGCAAACTCTTGGTTCTTCCCCATACGCATCATGTCTCTCTGGTCATTCCTGGTATGACCTTGAAAGGGAGACACAAAGTCATCGCCATCAGTAGTTTCAGCTGCATTTAAGCTATATTCGAGAGAGCTTGCTGATGGATGTAGATATGGAGATTTGGGCTCATCCGTAGATGAACCCGGCGGCGAAACCATATTGAACAGCTTCGGCATCCACCGTGATCGGGAAGAAGTATCCTTCAAGCGAACTCGGTTCGACTTGATATAATTCTAACCATCAACCCGCATGACTTGAAAATGGATGCTATCGTGAAAACAGAGAGAGACTGTGCAAGAGTGGCCAGGCCTGATTACCCGGGGAAACGTATGCTTATCGGCGAAAATAGGAATAGCGGCTAGCAAGAGGCGGTATGCATGCTTCTTCATATGTCCATGCAGTAGAGTTCAAGTGCAAGATCGATCTGAGATCTCCATGGGACAGCCTCCAAGGCTGGGTTGCTTTCAGTAGCTATCCATCGACTTAATTGAAAATTTAGAAGCAAGATTATCAGCCCGTCGCTTGCGTTCGAAAACCTCCTCCCCAAGTTCAAGCACCGGACGGGATCTGCAACTCTGAAGAGAGACATAAGGTCAGCCGGGAAGGACTCCATCGTAGTTTGGCGTCAGGCAACGTTTGCCCTTCTCCTCGGCTGGCAATTGGGCAATCCTTATCGCCGGAGCAGTAGAGCGGTTGAGAGTTCACGCCATTCTTGCGCCGGTGGACCGTCCACCTGAACCGCCCCGACGAATTGATTCCCAAGCAGCAAGAACTAATGCTGATCATTGCAAATGGGTCGAGATCCCGAGTCTGTGCAACGACAAAAGACGCCACAGACCCAAGAGTCCATTGCAGCCCAGAGTCTGGAGACAAGAGGATCCTCGCACAGCTGCCCCCGGGAACGCCTGCAACGGATGCTAGTTGACAGTTGGCGGTGTCTGGCGAGCCTGGGAGCCTCCTTGGCCATCGGTGTGAATATGGAGTACCTGCCCAACATCCTCTGCGGGTGCGACGCGAATAATTCGAGGTCTGGCGTACGAGAACGCAAAATGTTGAGTTGTGCTCAATGTAACGTCGCTCGCCTCGTTGAAAGAGTCTTAACGCACCGATTCCTCGGAAAAGCGATGACCCCAAAGAGGACAAACCCTCGAAATGGGCAATATTCTGGGTTTCTCAGACCAAGAAGATGGAGTGTCCCCGAGTTCCTCTGGGTGCAGTTGGCCCCAAGCGACCCTGAGTTAAGCCAATCGTATCAGCATTTGACTGACCGATCGTCGAAGGGACTGCGCAGATGCGGCGCAATCCGGAAAGCCATCGCCAATCCAAGTCACAAACATTTCTTTCCCATTCGTGATATCACCTTTTTCGATGGATCCGTTGCTCGGTGGGCCAGTGCTCTCCTCGCGATCTGACAGCCGCTCCGGTTCGATCAATGGCGATCATCCATAAAACAACGGACAGACTCGCTGAGCAGATTTCCACTCTCTTTAATGCACATCTCCGGAATGCAGCCCATTTTATTAGCTGTCTTTGTGGATACATACGTGATGATGCGCCCAGGAATTCAGATCGCTGAGCAGAACAGAGTATTTACTCAGAGCTCTCAATACTAATGTATCGACGAAGCCTGCTTCGGAATCCAGGCTCATCGACGGTGGAGGTGATTAGCTTCTATTACTCCGTACAGCAGCTTCAGATATTTGAAAGAGGCTTCCGAAACTAAGGAAAACATTGTGTGACATAAGTTATTCTCGTCTTAATCGTTTCTCCCGCAGGAGATCGGGCACATCAGGAAGTGCCGGGCATGATTCCTGCGCTTGAACACACAGCTTTCTGTCCCGTGTCATAAATTTCCTATGAGACTCAACGGACTTGCTGCAAGATTCACTATGATCGATGGCACCTCGTCCACTGCCTTCGCTTCCTGAGGGAGTCTTAGATCCGTTGACAGCCAATAACCACAAAGACCGCGGGGGCCTCATAATCGTGGTGTCATCTATTTCTTTGAGCGTTGCACTTATCCTGCTAGTTATTCGAACGTATATTCAAATTATCAGGCGAACAATCAAACTGGATGATATCTTGCTCCTGGCAGCTACGGTACGGCCGCCTACATGCATGCCCGTGAGAGCATATCGCTGACTTCGATCACAGCTTATCTTCTGCATTCAATCCTCGTTTGTGTTTCTTCAAGTTCACCATGGATGGGGTAAAATACATGAACTTTTAGATTCTTATCCTCATGGTCCGATGCTAAAGGTCTGACTCCCTTTCCTCCCTTAAAATTTGATGGTTTACTGACGACTGCAGGCCGCATATGTAGCCGACATCCTGTACATATTTACCCTGTACATTTCCAAATGCTCGGGATCTTTTTTCTACCTACGCATATCTCCTGGTCGAATACTGCTCTTCGCTGTCTGGACTGTGGTGTCAATTGCGACAATATGGACGGTTTCCTCCCTTTTACTTGTTTCTCTACGATGTGATACCGACGATCCATGGATCGATATCACTGCGAAATGTTCCATACTTGTGAGAATCTTAGCTACACCCTAGAAGTCTCCTTGGCCTGCTAACTCCTTCTCTAGCTTCGTCGCTGGGAGATCATCGGCGGACTTGACATGTTTATTGAATTGGTCACAGCCGCGACGTCTATCATTCTTGTTCACGATATCCAGATCTCCAGGAGACAGAAACTCCAAATCATATTAGCATTAAGTTCCCGTATTGTGTAAGTGATCCACCCTTCAATTTTTGCTAGCTGTACGCTTGCGGCATTCCCAGCTTTCTGACTTACCCTCAGCGTTTTTGTCCCGGCAATTCTACGCCTACACTACCTTCGCCAACAATTCTATTCTACCGACCCTACATACGACGGTACCTACACCACCATTTGTGCTCAAATCCAGCTAGGATATCTTCTAGTAGCCAACACAATTCCATGCTTGAAACCGTTCATAGCCGCGTACGAAGGGTCCGATGCGAAGCCAACTTTTCGAGGGTATTCCGTAAGTCCACGAGATTCGAGGATACCTTCGCAATATGAAGAAAGTTTCAGTGAAATGAAATCTTGCGGAAGGAGAGACCATCGTCTGAGTCGAGAGCGTCCCTTGTCCGATCATTCGGCGTTTCGACGGCATACAAGGAGAGGGTCTGGGCAATCATCATTGTCAATGCACACACTGAAAAAAAGCACCGGGCATCAGAGGCAGGACACGGTCACAGACCCAATGGAGATTTTACCCTCACCGCAAGACACGACTGCGCCCAACGCGGGGGAACCAGAGTCAAAACTTTTCCCTGTGGCAGAGTGTCCAGAGCCAGGGCCCAGCAAGCCAGAAAAATCGGATGAACGACGATATCACGAGGAACCGTGGGGTACAGCTCCTGTGTCCATACATACCTTCGAAAGTGCATTGCAATGGTAGAGTTGAGGGTGTGCACCTTTTAATTCTGTTGAGTAAACTTCTGAATATTTTCCTGCAATATTTGCGTCCATAGCCGTCACGTCAAGAACAAACTTCTCGAGGAGATACTCCCATTATGACGGATAAAGCTTATGTTCATACCCCGGACAACTATATATAACCAGGGCAGAAGGACAACTGTATACACTGCGATGTGCCAACAAAGGTAGATAGTAAGAGCTTATATATACAAACAACTGTACAGCTATACAAGGACAGTAGAGAGGGTTGAGGGACAATCAGCAGCAAAATGCACTCAAATCCAGTAAAGCCATGGACTGTAAATGACCTATGTTCGGAAATGGCAATAGTGAATAAATTGGGAGAGTTTAGAAGGAAGAGAAGCGGGCACATACGAAAAGAAATGAAAAGGGTTGGGAAAACCCTCTAGGGGAAACGCAGCAGCTGCGACAAAAAGATAATACAGAAATAATTGAGAAGGCAAAAGGACGGGTAGTCTGGAAGAGACCAACGCTGTGGCGTCAGCCAGCGCAGGCAGCTAACATCATTTAAACAGCGAAGCGATATCAAAGCGATAGAGTCAAATATTAACCGAAAGAAGAACATTAGATATCTGCCTTCTGAGGGCTTTCCGAATGATCCTGATCTTGGCCGCCCCCGAGAACAGTACCATCTCCCAGGTGGATCGAAAAATCCCTAAAATTTAGCGATATCGAATGGTCACCGTATTTCCAAGTCATAGGTTCCTGCAGGGCAACGTCAGGGTCGCTTCTCGCGATTCGCAATAAACCCTGGATCGCGTCATGCGCACCGGTAGCACTCCGAAGCTCCTCAGTTAATTGGAAGATGAATAGGACAGCTATGCGACCGAAGTCTGGAACCTCGGGTGGTAAAGGAGCTTGGCTTGTTCTTCTGGATTCTGGAGTCGCACCACCTGGTTGAGAGTCAAGAGGAAGGGAGCTCGTTGGAGTAGCGGCTTGGTCATCCCGGCGAGTAATAGGGAGATGGTTGCGACCATGGTGCATATGGGGGGTTAAAGAATCATCGTCGGTACCCAAACCCGAGGCATCAAAGTCAGGGATGACGAAATGACGCTTTCCGTTGGCTCCATTGAAAGTAACCAGTGCGTTCTCGCTAGTGCAGGACAAATCCTCTTCGTTGAACAATCCCAGGATCTTCGAAGCGTTCAAAGGAATGCTGAAATTGGCCTCAGACTGTTCAAAGAGTCGCGGAAGCGCATCGCCCACAGTCGCATTTTGATAGTCCTCGTTGATATCGACGGAAGTACAGCTGCTATCACCAGGGAGAGCACATCTCGGGCCTCGGAATCCATTCACGCAGACACATCCACATGAGCCCTCGCGTCCAATACTGACGCCGCCATTTAAGCAGGGATGTAATGTCTCACATGCGCTTGGTGCCGCCGTAGGTCGGTTTGAATTCTCTTTATCCCTTTCCTGGGGAAGGACGATGAGAACAACAGGTATGATCACTGCAGAGGAAATAAGAAGAAACAAAATAAAAATGATGAAAACAAATGTGCGACGAGACATCCCACAGCAAATCTCTGCCCTTTTGGGCGCTTCCGGGGCGCTTTCTGGAAGGGTTGCGTTTGGATTCGCACGATTGTTAAAGGCTGCAGAACCCCGAGAACCGGCAGTTGGAGTACCGATGGGGCCAGGAGGGGGAAATGATGCGAGGATATCAGATATGGATCCCGAGTTTCTTGCGCGTCCGCTGCTAAGATCGCTGCTCCCATTCAGCATATCGAGCATTCCAAGTCTACTTGCTGTCCTTCCACGGTCTAAATTCGATGCCAGCTTGGTGGCACGTCGTATAAGATCTGGAAGACTAGTAAGACTGCCCCGCGCCTCGGCGTCGCGAACAGCATCAATATTTAGTGGAGGAGGTCTCTTCAGGTCAAGCCTATTGAGGCCTGAATCAGGAACAGCACGGGTTCCATGATTAAGTTGGAGCTCTTTCAATTCCTCCTCGGAGAGGGAAGTCGGAAGTCGCGTTGTTGGGAGGGGCAGTTTTTCCAGGTCGTCAAAAGAGGACTCGGAGGAGGCAGAATCGGAGCTAAACCGTGTTGCATTGTGCGGGCCAAAGGCCCTTTGTTGGTTTCTCCTTGCGTCTGTAGTGTTGGGGGCCATTCCCGCAGCTGCATCTGCACGAGGGCTGGTAGCGCCATCATTTTTCTTCCCCTCGCCGCCACTTTGAGACTTCACGCGTCGACTTTCGTTGTCCATATTTTGGCCGCTTTGTGGTTTATTAATGGTTCGAAGGGATGGCTTTGCTCGCTTTCCTACGCTCGCCTGGCGTACGAGTCCCTCCTCGCCATCGCGGTCATTGGCGACAAACGAGTCTCTTTTTGGAGAATCGACGGAGCCTGCTTCAATTGGTGCAGTCCCCCAGCTAGAAGGAATGACTTTGCTTGATGCATACGAGACAGGGATCCGGGGAGAACTCTCTACAGATTCTTCTTGAATGGGAGAGATGTTGGAGTTGTTTGCATAAAAGGAACTCGCTCCACGTCGAGAGGACGGAGGCCATAGATATTGATTTCTTTGCTGGTAGCCTTCGTCAGGCGATAGTTCGGGGGAGCTGAAAGGATCCGAGAATGTATCCGGAGATTTCTCTTGGTCAGAAACGGATGTAAAGTCTCGTACGTACTGTCGTGGAGGATCCTCATATTGATATTCCAGGCCGTTCGGAGGCTGATTATATGGTATATTTGGGTTATAGTCTCGCATTCTCGATGCATCCAGTGGTGAAGGAACATTTTGAGGTTCTGGCCGTGGAGGGCGTTGGGGTCTTTGGGCGCCTGGTCTATAGGGTGCAGGCCCATTGTCGGGAAACCTATTCATTTCCAACGATCCCGCGTGATTACCGGGAAGAGGCCATTGGGACATCTGCGAAGGCGCCATATTTGGGCCTCTATTCCCCTGTTCGCCTGGCGGAAACGCCGCTGGAACCGGAGGAGGTCGCTTCACAGGAAGACGATGGGGTGCCGGATTTCCTCGACCCCGTCCATTATCAGAGTATCCATTTGCTGATAAACCCACTTGCACCATTTCCCTTGCTCGCCGTACAGAGCCCTTTCCACCATGGTTGGCACCTTCATATCGCGTGTCATTCATTTCGACTCACGAGCCCTAGCCGATATTCCTCTATGCAACACAACACTCGTCTCACGATTACCAATCGAAACGCAGATTGATTGATAAATGTTGATGTAATATAAATGGCATATCGAATTTCAGATACCTGGTCGCAGAATAGGATATTCCCGGATCAACCAGGCGTTACGAAATGGATGAAGATGTGAAACGACGTCTCCTTCGAAGGGATCAACCGTAACCGCCTTAATCACAATGCCAGCTCCAAGACTTGATGGCAACTTTGCTCTTCAAGTCAAAGCCACGTGGATAAAGTAGCGGATTGAGTCGAAACAATAGCGGCAAGCGTCCAGCAGCTGCACCGAAATCTTAGGAAACTTCGAATAGAAATAAAAGGAATGGAGTTGTCCGGCAGAGATACACGGGCAGGTTCTAGCTACAAGTCAGCAAATTGGCGAACAGAACTGCATATACGCTTGAAGCCCATTGTCCAGGGCCAACACCTGTTAATGCGAATATTAGGAGCCAGACTGGCCTAGCAATCCATAGAAGGTGGCACAATTCGCGGTTAAACATCTATCAGAGAGGCCAAGGTCTGAACCACCTTGACTGCACATTCATGGAGCGTTGAGGATGATGAGAGTGCATAACATACCAAGAAAGAACGAGCGACTTTTGATAAAGATTGCAAAACGAGCGACTTGGGCGAGGAAAAGAGCGGACTTCGAAAGTTCACATACCCTCCAAGGTCAAACCTTTGACGTCTCAGAGCTGTTTAAGTGCAAACAAGGAAGGTGATATATCACTCCCTTCTGTCTCAAGCGACCAATTGGCTCCTCGAGAGGCCCGGCCGGGAGCTCACAACGGATATTCAAAAGCGAGCGTCGAGCTCTGACGAAGGAATGAAAGAAAAATTCGACGAAGAGAGACGGGTATAGTCAAGAGACGTTTGACAGATGAAGAGATTTGCGGGCTGAAGACACGCCCCAGATGGAACGGCATGATGCTTGACACTGCCAATATTCTCGTGAGCTTCTAGCGTCAAAACCTCCCTTCCCTAATTTGCTCTGAAACACGGTTCCTCAGGGATCATGCCACCAGTTCCATGTCCACGATCCGCCCATTGGTCAGGGATTGGATGTCCTAACTTGTTACTTCCTAGCCCACTTCGATCCCCCGTGTGGAAATCCACGGCGATTGTAAGTGGCTCCAAAGGCTCGTTTAAGGTTGAAACAGCATCCCGCAAAGCCTCAGGTGCGCAATCAATTCGTCAATCAGCCGTCCTTTGGTCTTCGCAATGCACAGAGAAATATAGCCCTCTCGTCCTCCAAAGAAGCACTCCCTTCATATGTCTTTTTTTGCGAAGTCGAAGAGACTATTCGAGAATTACTCTCGAATCACAGGAATTACTTTAGATGAGGGCCGCCGGAGAGCGGCCGAAGAGCTCCGAGTTAACTCGTGTGTGGTTGGCGATCGGAAGTTGCAGCGTGCTTTTGCCGAGACCTGGAAAGCTGCGGGGAAATAGCGGGCATACTTATCACGTCGGTACTGGACGCTAGTCAACTAAATGCACTAACAAGCTGAACTAACTGCGAGCTCGGCCGCGATCGTTTGTCAAGACGGTCAGAGAGTCGAGCACTGTGCTGAGCATCTGCCCGAAGACGATGTCTTCCAGCATTGTTCAGATAAGGAAATTTTTAAGGCTGCTGCAAAGAACAAACTAGACAGAGTCAGGTGATGCTCCTTATTTCAGCCTCAGCACCGGCTGTAGATCGCGACATGGACTGCAGGGCGGGCGTCTCTGCTCGCTTCCGGCTTCCGCTCGCCGTCTCGCCGGTCTTTTTCCATTGTCTGGAGCTGATCGATTTGCTGTTGGTTCTTTCTCTCGTCTGCAATGGTCTTTCCCCCACTATGAGCTGAAGCCATGGGGGCGATTGTCAGAGTGACAAGCAGTCCTTCCCACTGCAAGTCTCGTCAGTACTCTTCTCCCCTGATGCCAGGAAGAAGACTCTCATATTCTTATCCGTTCTACACTCCCCTACTGACTCTTTGGCCGAGCGCACTCTTGAAGGTCTGATCCCTGATTGCTGACGATCTTACAAAGTTTCACCCTGGATTGCGAGTAGGAGCCCAGAATCAGAACCTGAAGTGGAACCTTGATCGTATATTTGCAAAAATGTTGAAAAGGATGCCCCCCTTTCAAGGTGTGCCAGCATCTCCTATATGAATTTCCGAGCCCTTGGCTTTATGATCTGTTCTCAGCTTTCTAACCCATGACACCACGGATATTGACGGTAGATCCCGTCGGTGAGGACACAAAGCACACTCCTTGCCCAAACCCATCGGTAGAGCCACGCCTCGAAACGACTGATCCATGTTTATCGATGCGACAACCCGTATCATCTAGCCAGAAAACTTGGACTACTGTTCCCCCACGCCTTTTTACCGGATCGCAAGAATGCATGCCGCCTCCAATGGTGCCACTTTCCGGGGTTTCTTTGTGCCCGTCCAAAGAGGTCGTGCAGCGAATCAATGCATGGCAGGTGTTCAGTCACCGTGATCCGCTTATTAACAGTAGAATTATTCGATGGCTTGAGGGAGTATATCCTATAAACTCCGGAGTTCGGACTCCTAAAGCTGTGCAACCGTGCGTTTGAGGGAGTGCTACGAACCTAACCAAGAGTTGGTGTTGTTGGGAATAGATTATTATGCGGTTTCTCCCCGTTTCTTCACCAGCACGCGAACGCCACTTTCGTACGGATATGACGCCGGCGAGATCCCGTTTCATGACCGCATAGCAAGAGTTGGGGTTTTCCGATATTCCGATATCCTCCTCCACCCAAAGTTGACAAAATCCAGAGGGCGCAACCCGTCCTCTACGCAATATCCCGCGATTAACTCTGCGACAGGCCAAGGAGTTCCCTCGCTCCGGCCGCCTTATAATTTATACTTTGGTGATGGCTTGGTCATGGTGCGCAACTCCGCGGCATTCATGAGAACGGCGCCGCGAAAATGAATTATGCACTCTCAATTTGCATGGTTTTTTATGTCTCCAAGCTATGGCGGGAATCTTTTGCTCCAACGTATGACAATTTTTAAGGAATGCTGGATTTATTTTCGAAAGGCTCAACCCAAAAGACGGGCAGTTTAGGTTCTATCGAAAGTGGGATGTTTTTACACTCTGATAGAGAGCGCTTCGCCGCCAGAGCTAGTCCAATGACGTTTATTTGGTCTCAAATGCATGAAAAAAGAGCGGCGTGGCGTATTCTTATGGCGATATGCCTCTCATCTGTTTAGCGTCCCATTTTCATTGTCTTACGTGTATTCTTACCTGGTCTGCTGGAGATGGATTTAATTTCGTTTGGCATACTCCGTACATTCCCCCTCCTTCTCTCTCTTTCTTTCTTTTCTTTTCTTTTCTTTTCTTTTCTTTTCTTTTCTTTTTTTTATAAATAGATTAGATTTGTATATAGCCTGGGAACATACTCATCCTTAGACTTCTACCAGGCGGTGGATTTAAGGCATTCTGGATCTGGTTCTGTATGATGCGAGCTGGCGTTTCTCTAGTAAGGCGATCCTTGTTGATTCACCATCGGACGTAGGTAATTCAGCTTTACTTCTTTTCGACAGGGAGGCACCGTGTCAGTCCCTGTCGTGCAGCATCCCCATTCCTGGGCTTGAAACATCGACAAGGGTTAAAAAACAGCTCAATCTCCCAGAAATTACTCCGGATCAATGGGTACAGAGAAGACGGACGAGAAATCCAGTCTGTCATAGGGAGGAGAAACTAATTATTAATCTAACTTCTAGAAGCTTGTCTAAGCTGAAAAATAAAGACTGTCAGTTGACTATGATGTACGGAGTAGTCTGGTGTACTCCGTAAATGATTCGGGAAAACAGCTTCTCCGGCGTGGGACTTTTCTCTTGGGGACCCCCCCGGGGGAGTTCGAAAGTTCTGGTCCATCCAGATTTTCAGAGGAGCTTGGTGAGGCGGAAACGATATACCCCGGGCTCCTCGAGGGGACAGAAACAGGGCTTTTCAACCTGGGGGCCTCAGCATTGAGACTGGGGACGCAATGAGGATTGTGGTATATAGGGAATACTTTGTTCACCTCCTGGATAGCGATGCAGGCGTGTCCAAACTTGGTGCAGTTACGCTACGGAGTTAGGGCTAGTGTCTCGGAGTTTGTTGTTGCTCTCTCCGAGATGGGAACGGTGTTAAATGTGCTAGTGATGATAGAACGAATTGTAGTGGTAACGGCAGTGATTTCACTTGTAAATTGTATGGGCAGAAGATGGACATTCATACGTTGTTTCTGGGAGCCAGGAATCGTACCTGTGCGAGGTGTAAACACTCGTGACCGTGGATGAGGCGGAGTCACACTTGGGTGACCGAGTCTGGAGTTAAAACAGCTGAATTTGTCAGGACCAGGGGATGATGTTGAATTGCACGGAGAGGACGTCCCAGGGACCGTGGACGTCCGAATCTCGATCAAGTAACGGGAAGTAATGATATGCGAGACATATATTGCTTGTCGTCGAAAGTTACTGCGGAATGGGAGGGCTGGACAGCATCTATTCCAGGTGTCGAGGGGAGATGGAACCCGCATTATGGAGCACTGATGGAGGAATTGTGGAAGATTCGCGGGGTGTTTCATCGGTTTTGGGGGGATGAAACGATCTTCGGTGGTTCTGAGGATGTGAGATTCGGTCGCTGTCGCCAATGGTGATTAACGACGGGGTTTCCGATGCTAGTTGCCTCTGAAGCACTTAAGACAAGTCCAGAGACCATGAAGGAAACCGTCTCACCCGATACGTCCGTTTCGATATCGCTGAAGATGATGTCGTTGAGCCTGCCGATAATGTCCTCTCAAGGGCCATAGAAGCCGTTTCTCATGCAGTGAAGGACACTTCACTTGCTGCCCAAGTAGCTGTTTTCAGTGTAGACTTCGGTTCGCAGTCCACTGACAATGATAATGGTGGCTCTGAAATGACTGAAGACGTATCGCTCTTGCTTGAAGGTTTGTTCGCCGATCATGAAGTGGCTAAGTCTAAATTGAAGCTGACTTTTTGGAGATCGGCGCTTTGCACGTATATCTCCCCAAAGACGCTGTTTTGATCATGCAAGAGGTAAGAGATATCAGCTTCCATTATATGCGCTCTGTGGTTTGGGTATCTAGGCTTGACTCGACTGAGTGACATGAAGCTCTTGAGGAGCTCACAAACCCCATCCAGCGTCCTGCACTGGCTAATAATGATTTGATCCCGAAAACGGCTCCATGTTTGACTGCTTCTGCTTCGGTTATTCAGATATTCGGTTCCTCGTCGACAGACAATGTCTTCCTTAAATCATTCACGCTCTGTTCCACTTTGCGCATCTCCATAATCACGTTCGCAATGGCAGGAATTTGATCGTCTACGACAGATGTAAATGATGCTTGAGCACCTCTAAGAGCGCTAGGAACGAGAACGCCAAACCAATGTAAGGGGTTTGAAGAAATGGGCTTGTTCGAAGACCTCAGCTGCTCTTTTTGCTCAGAGCCCTGGCCTTCGCGAGCTCGGTCTTTCAGAGTCAGAGCTGAATCTTTTGTCCCTGTGGTATCTTTGCTGCTCTGGTCGCCGGGTTTCTCGTGCGTAATTTCAAAATAATTGGGAACACAATGCAATGTGGTATCTTCTGAAAGCTTTTCATCTGACGATACGAATTTAGAATGGGTAACGATCCTATAGAAGGCAGGATTGGAGAAAAGTTAGATCGTCCAGACGCCTTCTTCCATGTCAAGTCACCAGATGGGATGGGAAATAGAAACTCGGGGTTGGTTCGTTGGCACGTACACTCTCGTAATTGCCTTCATACGCTCATCATAGTAGTCTTCGCCATATCTGCGACCGGGTGGACAGGTGTGATTTGCGCGTGTAATGGAGAAGAAGCCCTAAGAACAAGCGGTTTATCAATATTAGCGTCAGCTTGGGGCTTAATTTTGCGGAGGAGAACCTATACAAGCGAGCGGAGAGCGTACGGCTGACAGACAATTCCCAATTTCCCGTTGCAGTCTCTGATGCTCATCGAGGAGGTAAAGGTACCGCTCCAGTAGATCGTCGATAGCCTGGAGGGGATCTGGTATTTCGGCAGCGGCGGACACCGTGGGAGAAGTGGGCGGGGTGGGAAGTGCTTCGCTCATTGTTGGAATGAAGTCTGGAATTGACGAGAATGAAGCACCTTCGAGCGGGCGGGAGAAGAGGAGAGTTTGAAGGCGGTTGGTAAAAGACAAATGCTGGCGGGTGGAGATGCGCTGCGGACGGCCGAAACCTTTGCGGAAGCCCGCTGAGCCTATCTTCTTCCTTTTTAAAGTCACCTTCCGCGTATTCGGTATTTGCTCGAAAAAATCATTCTTCCCGTACTGGATTGCATCTGCCTCCCATTTGTTATTTCGCTAGCGATTTTCCCGCAGGTTGGGTTGCCTTAAAAGTCCACTCTTATCTCCGCCGGGACGCAGAGAAACGCGGCGCTATTTTTAAAACTTTCAGCTCTGCTCAGCGAGATCCCTCCACGAAGTTTCCATGTATCTATCACCTTTGATACTGACGTTACGATAGTTATTCTTCAACTGCTTTGGTCTCTTTCACTTGGGACGGAAGCATTCTAACCGCTCGCTACTTCGCTGCACCTCATTATCGTGAGAGCGCATCGAGCCCGGAGATCTTATACCCTCGCATATCACCCTCAAATTCAATTCATACCGCCGGATCATAACCGCTTTGCCTCTCGAAGAGATTTGCATCTCCGTTTATCCCTTCCATCATAATGTCGGTCGCTAGATTGCATCGAGATTCCGCTTTTCAAGCCCGCTCACTTGTATGACTCCACCATCCTTTGCAGGGCAGCTATGCTTCATCGTTGCAGACTAAAAGTTCAGGAAGCTAACCACACTTTTTATTTCGCATGTCTGTAGTTCCGATCACTCCTCCGTCAATCCAAACAATTTTCCAATTACAACTTCCGAGAATATGCATTGAGAAGGACCCGGGATGCTTTCAGAGAACACCAACAAGAGACGGAAGAGCGCAAGATACAGGAGCTGCTACAAAAGGGTATACAAGATTTGCGGATGATGAAGGTGAGCAGGCACTCCAGTATGCTTATTGTACCCATCTGAGTTACAGGACGTCATGGGACAGTCCAAGCAGTTACTGGCAGGTGTGCATATCCTATAAACGATGATGCTAATCCTTTATACAGAGACAGACAGTTATCAGCCAGTTCTACCAATTGGATCGGTTAGTGGTAGAAGAATCGGTGCGTCTGGCGTGTCACTCCCGAATTTGCGATTCCAGCACCTTGGGTGAATTCTGACATAGAAGTTTAGGGAAAGGAAACGGGGTCTGAAGGAGGGATAGTGCGCCAAAAGGATTCAGCGTAAGAGCCTGAAGACACTCGGTATTAAAAGGAACATCCTGGCTAACTTGGACCGTAGGGCGAGTTGAGATTGAGAGGCGTTCCGGTACAGGCTGAGAAGATAGGTTGTAATCATTTCCACGATGCCCTAGCGTTTGCATAAATGCCGAAAGCCTTACAGGGATAGCTCCTGCTGCCAATGATGTAGAATAGATTTTATTTCTTCCTTTCTACGTTTTGTATTTCAAATGTATTCAAATCATGGCATAAAAGCCCCGGCGGCAAGATATGCAATCAGTGGAAATGCCATGGAATTCAAAAAAGCCCATCCTTGACGGTGAAAGGGATTACTTCGTTCTAACAGCTATCACATTCAAAAGAGAGCGTTGATACTCTCCGTCCAACTCATTTCTGCTCCGCACAAGCTGCAAGACCACCCATGTCATCACGTGACACGACTTGATGGACCTGGCGCCATCGCGACGAGCTGCGCCAGAGACTGCTGCTCCAATGCGGCGATCACGGTGGCAATCCTTCCGCACTTTGGGGAATTGGCTGAAACAGAGAACTTGTGCAACATCATACAGGTGGGCAGAGTCACTCAAGGAGCATTTGGTGGAACTGGCATCCCCAACTCCTGGCGAACAGACCAACCTTCTGACAGGCGATTGAACGTGGTTTTTGATATAAAATGGTTCCTGTAAGCTTCCATCATGTTGCAGCACAGCTTCTTCCCAATGTGTACCATTTTTTTAAAAAGTTTTCACCATTGGTTCCGCTCGTTTAATCGATTATATCCGCTAAACTGCATGGAAACCCAAATAGTTCCGCTCTTCGCGTACCCGCTCCCAAGCCCTTGCAGAAACTGCGCCCAACCGAACTAGAGCGGGTCAAATCGACCACGATGTCTTTGAAGGCTTGCCCGTTCGCCGCTGGTCACGCCAGCATGCAACCTTTTCGCAAACCCCCAAGCACGAAGAGCTCGATACAACAGCTGTTGGCCCAAACGCGATGCCGGAATTACCTATGCCAAGAGATAGCAATCTTCTAACGCCTCTGAGCCGGTCATTACTACGTGCTGCGCGTTCGGGGTGCACATATATCAAGCCGGTTCGTAAGGATCCAGATGTCGAGGAGAAGGAAGTCAAGGGGGAAGAACCGGCCGGCCCGCCTCCTACATACGAACGAACATTCACGACGGTGAAATGGACAACTATTCCGCGCAATCTCGAACCACCGGAAGTGGAGTTTTTAGCAAAGAGACGGCCTGGCTTACCTTCGTTGTATGGCGCGGGAGCAGTGGCGGTAAACACTGGCGCTGGAATTGGCGTGGTTATCACCGGAAACCACACACCAATGAGGAAAACAAAGTTCAAAAAGGTTGACGCTGCTACCGGCCAGGTAGCCATTTACGAGGCATGGGTACCAGAGGGCCACCGAGTAGAAGGCGAAATTACAGATGAAACTGAGATTACGACCGATAATCCCGATGTGACGATCGTCTCTGCGTCACCAGCACCAGGAACTGTCGTGGATGGAGTTGGCGTCGTTGACCAGGAAGGGGTCGTGGTTGCAGAACCCGAAGGGAGTATGGTTGCAGTTGTTCGAAGAAGACACCCTCCTCCAAAACGAAAAGCTAAAGGGATTGGCAGAGGCAGGAAGAAGAAGGTCATGTTTACTCAAGACGACGTCGCTGCATCGCCAGCCCATGGCAATGGTGGTGTCGGACATGAGACTGGCGGCCGCATTATAGAGCCTTCTAGCCAGCGATCTGACCAAGAAGATAAGCATGTAGGTGGTGAAGAGGAAGAGGAGGACGAGGACGAAGAAGATGGTGATGGAAGTGAAGAAGAAGAAGAATTCGGCGAGGAGGCCAAGTCCCAGACAAAACCAGAGACACCGCCAACAACCACTGCAGCTGAAGATCAGAAGGAGTTGCCCAAGGAACAGATATCACAACAAGAACTGCCGGAGAATGTGCCTCGCGACAAGTCAAGCTCACCTGATTTGCCCCTTTCCAAAGCTGCAGCTGACCGCACCGAAACGACAACCACAGAGAACTATCAAGAGGCGCGTCCGACAAACGACCTGCCTGAAGCATCTAGTTCGGTCCTGCAAGTTGAGAAAGCTTCTGATTCACAGCCAGAAGTGCAAAAGACCGAGCACGAAGAAGCCAACGAGCAACAAGTTGCCTCAAACCCCGACGAACCACTTCAACCAGCGGAAGGAGCTCAAACTGAAGAGGAAACCAGCGCAAGGAGCCCACAATCGACTAATGTCGATGTCGCACCTCCATCTATCCCCGAGCCATCAGAAGAGCAGGCAAAACCTGAGACCAACATCACACCTGACCCCACAAAAACATCAGCCTCCCCCGTTCAACCAGAAGCTGGTATTGGACCTGTACGCTTCGAAGACGGAGAAGTTGATCTTCTTGGTAGTTTGGAAGCTAGTTTGGATAATCCTGCTCAACCGTCTGAGGAGCAAAGCACGGATCACTTGCCGGAGCAAAAACCTGAAAAACAAGAGACAGTAAATGAAGAGCAACTGGATGTTACGATGGCGGACTAGCTAGCTTGGGATTGTGCCTTTCTTTCTACTGTCGTCACAAGCCTTGTTGTCCTTGTGAGTGTTTATAGGATACCAAAGGAAAGCCTTTATTTTGGTTCTGAATATTATATTCTTAACGGCCGTGGGAATGGGTCACGGGAAGGTGTACTTTGGAGTTATGAGTCTGTTTTGTTTGCTTTTCGAATCAGTTTTATTTCATTGTCCTAACCTTCTAAGGTCCGGGAGCTATTTTGTTTTATTCAATGACGTCCATTCCACCTATGTAAGAATCTGGGAGAATTTTGAGACCAAATATAAACCTTACAGCTGAAGACTGGGTTGCAATTGGGAATGCTGTGCTGGAGTAATGTGCAAGGCAGACGAGTCTGGTTCCTATCGAATCCCCCTGACTAACTAGTTAATCAAACTTCGAATCGGAAAACAACACATGGAAAATACGGAGTGTCAAAGGGAAGATACACAACAAATAGATATTTGTGAAACAGAATATTCTTTTCCCAATTCCAGAAACCTGTGAAGTCTAGGAGGACTTGTATGTTATGAATCAAAGCAGATTTTGGTCGATCTTGTATAGTAGCTAACGCATATCGAACAAAAGTATACACGTCAAGCAATATCCTATTTGCAAAGGTGTCACTCCTCAATCTCCTTTATGCACACTCACGTAGAGAAAATGTACCACTGCCTGCTCATAGATAGATTCTTCACAATGTCTTCTTCGCTCTACCACGCTTTCGAGAAACTGGCACGTTGTCGGGGCTCGAACGGACATCTGCTGTACGCGCTGCCCTGATTTTTCTTCCCGGTTTTATGGTATCCGAAACGACCTTTGCTCCACCTTTGGTGTCCCCAGCTTCAAGGAATTTCCTCATAAGAGCGGGCGTTTTATTTGAAGCGCGTGCTGCAGCAATGGAGTTTCCAAGTCTCGGTTTAGAAGGCATCTTAAGTTTCCGACCTTTATTTCTGGGCGGCTTTTCATCTCCCTCGGCAGATTTAGACGCTGATTTTACCGGCATTTTTGCACGGGTAAGCGTAGACCTGCGCTTCTTCACAGGGATTGGTTTGATTGACGCTGCTTTTTTAGCTGGCCTTCCCACCCGTTTGACCTTCCCTTTAGCTTGTGTTGATTTGAGGGCCGTCCGGGCTTTCGACACTGCTTTCTTGACTCCAGTTTTCAAGGACGAAGCCCTCGAAGGCTTTGGCTTCTTATTTAGTCGGGAAGCGGACTCGTCGAGAGCGCTGTCGACTTTGCGCTTTGCCGCGGGCGCGGATTTCTTTTCCTTATCTTTGTTCTTCCATGACTCCTTAGGTCTTGGGCCGAGCACCCCGCGGCAAGTTGGCGCTCCGCACCGACACTCTTGGACGTTCTTCTGGGAGTAGGGGCTAAGTATGGATTAGTTCAGTATCAGAAAGCAGAGTAAAGATATAACGCACTCAAAATTATAATCGTACGTAAGCTCTTCCCCAGTCATGATCCCATCTTCACCTGCAAAAAGGGCCATTCGTGGCTTCCCAGCAACGGTCCACTTCTCCATTCTGCAATTGGGCTCACAAGAATGGTTGATAAAACGAGCAATAGATCCACGCGTGGCGTCGATGACCATGTTCTGGTCGAAGTACATCAGATAGTAGCACTACGCAGCGACCGTCAGTCTATTGGACCAGGAAAGATAAATAAAAGAGGCGAACCTCGTTTTTCTTATACACAGTCCTCATCCTCCGCTCACACTCCTCTTGGGTGAGGATTTCCCCAGTATATTCGACGATGATCTGGTTAGGATCGAACGAGCGGTTACTACGGACACCATAGCCTCGATCTTCCGTCTTGATAACCTCGACACCGATGTTAAACTTCCCGCCCGCCTTAGCTCGTCTACGTAGTGCACTGAAAGGTCGATTCCGACATAACTCTGAGCCTAATTTGCAGTTCGTGTCATCACACTCATAAAACATGTATCTATTCTGGCAGTTCTCATCGCATCCTGTTTCCGGGGTGCAGGTACATGTGGAATGCTCTTTGATCTTCGCAGCCTTCCATATTGACGCCGCATCACCGACGAATACGTCTATGATCATGTTAGGGACCAATGATACCCGCAGATCGGAAGAGAAACACATACTTTTATTGGCCTTTCGCCATTCATTTGGTTTGGGCTGGCCATGTGGCAGGGGAGAGAAGATATCAAACGGCAACTTGTAAGCGCGGCCATTCTCTAGAAGTCTAGCACCGGCATACATTGGGAATGGAAATACTTGTGACTGCTGGCCATTATTCTTTGCATCTCTTGTACCCCTCTTTGACTTTGGAACGGAGGAATCGATGTATTCTTGTCCAGCATATAGTCCATGTTTAAGCCAGGGTTTCCTTTTTTGCCGAATCAAGCTATTCTCCCTTGTGGCGGTTTGCTCCTGGCGTGGAACTTGACAAGTGCTCTTGTTGTCACCAGACACACGTCTTTTCTTAGGTGAAGGCTCCTGGGGAGCTGGAGTAGAGGCTTCTTTCCTTTCATTCTCGACTCTAGGCCGTAGGCTAGCCTTTCTATCAATCGTTTTAACCTTATCCTTGCTCTTCGATATAGCATCGAGCGTCCGTTTTCCGAGCACGGAGGGAGCGCTTTGGGCCAGATCCTTTGTTTTCGCAAGTAGACTCAGGCGCGTGGATCGTCTTTTCGGGCTTTTATTCCCAGCCTTTTTATTAGGTTTCTTTCCTGCCGCTTTCGCATTCTTGCCTGACTGTTTGTCCACCGATCCACTTGCATCCTCCGCGCCATTGAGTAAAGATGTACAATCTTCGTCTTCCTGGGTGTTAGTATTGTCAAGAGACCCATCGTTTGGCCGTGTCAGCATAGCTTCTCCTCCTCCGTTTGCCTCCAGCTCTCCATTTTTCAATGAGGAACGCGTCACGCGTCTTGAAGGTTTAGCTTTTTTTGCACGGTGCTCGCCGTCTTTCTCGGTGTCTACTGGAGTCGATTGCTCGGATATGCTTGTCGCAGGTGTAAGAACGGGAACCGTGGCATCAATCGCCGTTGCGTCGCTGTCCAACGCGGACGACGTAGGGGTGGAGGACGGCGAGAGCATGGGGTCCCGTGCCATAGTGATAGACGCTGGGGCAAAAGTGAAAACGGCCTCAATTGCACTGAAAGCACTCCACACACGTTGTTTGATGCTTGAAATGCCTCTTGACGCGTGTAAAGGGTATCGAGCGCGAGTTAGATGCGGGTGCTTGGCTGCGTTTAGTGTCTCATTGAAAGCGCGGCGCTTCCTTGCACAGCGGCTAATAATAATGGGCGGCAATGACAAAATAGAGTCGGAAGGGAAAGTAGAAACTCAAAGTGGAAGATCCAAGCACACTCGACTCCGAAGTCTAAAATACGTCTGGCAGGACTCAAGGTTGTTGGAAGGTTGATAGGAGTAAGTTTTGATAAGAAAGGGATGCAGCTTTTCTTCCGTGTTGGGGGCACACCGACCGCCCCGTACCCGCAAACATATTACGGCGACAAGGATTTTGTGTCAAGCTGTCCTTACGGCGAGGCTACGTCTAAGGATGCGTGGCAACATTGCGTTCTACGACTTAGCAATATATCGGAAGCTATCATTGTTCAATCATTTAGACACAGGAAGCTCTTCAGGAAGGAAGCGAAATCTACAATACAGTTCATATCCGTTCTCCAATTGCAAAGAGACACATCCAACCCTAGGCAGCCGGTGCCACATTGCTCCTAACGCATTTCCGAACAGATGGTGCAAGGAAAGAAAAATATGTCAGAACAGATATCCGGCCATTATACAAGGTTCACATCACAAATTCACGAATATAGAACCATCGGTCTAGAATTCTAGACGCAACAAGTATAGCAACAAAAAAAAGAAATTCGAGTCTTCGGGCTTGTAAGTGAGAGACTAAGACATTAAGAAAGCTTGTAGTGTATATGTATAGTAGAGAACGGGTTTTGAAAAGCGGGTATATTTGCGAATGGGAAGCAGTGGGTAATTTAGGCAAAGGATTACATAAAAAGAGATTACTAGGTAGTAACACACGAGAGAATGGTTTAAGAAGCTTGTTGGGTATTACGCAAAGGCCCTCTGCCACTGGGGCCTTCAAACGTAGGGGGTGCACCCTTCACACGGCTCATCTCTAGATCCCCGTTTTGAGCTTCTAAATCACGACGGCGATGCTTCACCTTTTGAGTGGCAAAGCGTTGGTCCCCTTCGACGTAAGGCTTTTTGAACTCCACGTAACTAGGTGGTCGAGGTCTTCCAAGGACAGCAATCCAGTTCTTGAGGAAATTTCCTTGAGTAAACGGGCGGTGCCGATCAGCCTTTTTAAATTTCTGAGAATTGAGATATTCCCTCGTTGTTTCACCTCTCCCTACTAAGAAGAGGTGATAACACCAAAGAGCAGCCGGATATGGAAATGCGAGTGCGCCGTACAGAACCATGGCAAAAGGTACCCTCCACTTGTCTATTGATTGTTTAAAGGTGATCCCTTCCCGACTCTGATAGACCAGAATATGTGTCAAGCTTGCACCGAGAAGGAAAAGCGCACAAATTGTCGCCGAGCTAACGAAGGAAAAAAAGTAGCGATAGTTACGACGCCCGACGCAATTATTCAGCCAAACACAATGATGATCCAGTGTTTCGATGCAGTTATCGCAGGTGCGACAGTGGTAGCACCGAGGAGGGCGCCAGAGATTGCATGTTTTGCAGTATTTTACCGGTACGTCCATAGCAGCCATATCAGAAGTGGCAAGCTTGACCATAACCCAGTCATTAGTTGGAGGTCCAAGAGTCAGTGGGTCCTCGGCGGGATTAGTGGGTGGGAAGATGTGTAGGTTCCGCGGATAGATCTAAGTGGTTGCAACGTTAGTTATGACAGTGAAAGGAAGAGGTGGTTTAGAGATACGCACTCCGGGATTTACCAATGATGCATGGAGAAATGAAGACACGCATAGGAAAAAGACGTAAGCGAACACAATTGGTATAGCCGGAGATAAGTTATGCCATAACCATGGAGCCCTGTAATAGTAGATCAGCGGCGTGAATATTTAACACGCTTCAAAATCAAAAGGACGTACGAATAGCCAAAGAATAGGGCTCCAGGTAGTACCACGAATATACCTGTCGCTATGTTGACTGGACGATCGCGTGCGTTTTGAAAGCGGCCACCCCAAAAGAATATCGTGTTTCCGGTGAAATATTCATAGTTCTTTCCGAGATTTCCTTTGGGGGCAGGCTTCTCAGATTTAAGGACGTTCGAAACGGGAGAAGATGCAGCAGACGACAGCCTTTCATGGTCCCTGGAGTCAGGACGCTCCGGATGTTCGCCCTTGCTTGTTTTGAGGAACCCAGACCGGAATGAAAGAGGAGACCTTTGTGGAGGATCTTGCGATACACCTTGTTTAAAATTATTGCCTAAGTTCAGGTGAGTGGGAGCTGTACCCCTTGAGCGATCATGTAACAGTCTGACGCTATCTCCTCCACTTCTGACGGTAGTATTACCCGTGGGACTTGCAGTCGAAGTTCCTCTGTCAAGGAAAACTGGATCTGTGAATTCGGTTCCCCTAGACGGCGGTGGAATTTCATAATCCAGCCCACTAAGCCCGGGCAGGCCCGTCGAATTGGATATCAGGCTTCTTCTCGCCGGGTTTGCAATATCACTCTGGCCGTCTTCGCTGGAAAAGCCCTGGGTTGTTGCGGTTGGAGGGCGCCCACTGCGTTGCATTTGCAGTCTTTGAGAGCTCATCGGCCGAAAGAAAGCATGTGAGGTCAGAGATGGAACGTGCGTCCTACTTATGCGACTCCCTCCGCTTGGAGGTGGTCCGTTCCCAGGATTCGATGCTGCCGACAAAGAATGTCTGGCAGGAGGTCCGCGACGGGAGGAAGACCTATAGGAACGCGTGGGAGGGCTACGAGGCCGTGGATCGCCATCTTCAGATTGTATATCCGTTATATGCGAAGAAATATATGACACGGGACGGGCGCTGATATTGGGGGATAATGGATCGGGGTCGGTGGGGGGTGGAGGATTCGGGAGAGCAGCCATGGTCGGATATCGAATGGATATTTCAGGAGAATTAAATAATATAAGCCAAATTCATCGTGTTCCCATAATTAAAGAGAGGCCGGGTACACGCCTTTCATTTCAATTCAGAAGAGGAATAGGAATGTAAGACGGTGATAGGAGGAAAAGAAGTGATTCTTAAGAAAAGAGTAGGATGAAAGAGAAGTGCAAAAGAGTGTCAGGGATATGTCGACCAGCAGTATCAAACAACTACGCAAATGAGACCCGATGGCCAGATTCGTTGTCAAGTATCGCGATCCATCGTGGACTGCGAGGCGGATTGACTCACTCACTCTCTCACACACTCTCTCCCTATGTCGCCCTGCTGCGTTTCCCTTTTCGGGCCCAAACCGAGATATCCCGCTGACTCAGCCACAGGGACCAGTCACGTGGCAGACCGGAACATCACGATCCAAATAAACCCACCACCGAGCGAACCACCCGACCCAACAGCCCAGTTCGCTCCGCAGCAGCAGCAGTCCCAATTGCTAATCCTGTCGCAGTTATATAACATCATTCCGCGATGTCATCCATTGCCGCCAACGTGGCCCGCCGGGCCATCCTGAGACAACCTCTCAGAACCGTGCGAGCCCAACCAGTTCGACGATACGCCTCCCGAGTGGAAGAAGCTGGACTCGACAAGGGACCAAAGAGAGATCCCGAGCTCTACGTACGTGCTTTAGGAAGGCATTTTCCGTACAATTATTTTAATCAAAAGTCAATGTTCTAATTTTATTTTCGATCTAGCTCCTTCTCGGTGTCATGGCCGGCGCCTTCGGGCTTGCGGGATGGTATTTTGGCAGGTCTCCCACCACCGTTACCTCTGAGAGCAACATTCGAATCGGAGAGAGTGCCATGCCTTGGGAGGTTGACGAGAAGGATGTTGAGGCACAAGGGAACTTCAAGTATCAATACCATCCTCATGGCGACAAGAACAAGCCTCTCAAGTCCGCCCCCAGTGCTTTGAACGAAGTTGTCATTCCAAACGTCACATTGCCAAAGGTATGCCCGAATTTCCTTTTCCCGTGAATATATGGCGACCGTGCTAACTCTACCTGCAGGACTTGCACGACCGATTCAACAAGTATGGAAAGGACTACTAAGATGTCAACTGTATTCTATAGCCTGAAAACACAGCGGGGAATGTGATATCGAGTTCTCTGACGCAATTGCAAACATTATGTGTAAATAAAATCATATGTAACATCTCGGTGCGCCAATCGTTTGATACAATTTCCTTGAATAATGTCTGTCTGCTTTCATGAAAGAGCGGTTGATCTAGTGATTGTACATGTTACGCCATATTTATGACACCATTCCTCCCTAGAAACAAACCCGCCAGCCGTGACCAACAGCATCCAATTCAGACCTCATTTCGCATCCACACCAATCGCTGTATGAATAAAAACCTTAAGAAACATGGAAAGTCCAAAGATCTATTACAATTCATCTGCATTTCTGGTGGCTTCCTTTCCCTCACTGGCGGGTTTTGGTTTTTGGTCTTCCTGCGGCACGGATTTTTCATCACCAGGTACGGAAGCAGGCTTGTCTCCCGGAATGTTTTTGTTGTCCTTTCCGACAGTCTCGGGGTTTTGTCCTTCGACATCCGGATGTGGTGGAGCAACGTTTTGCTTGACCTCACGTCCTTGTCCATCGATCACCCTGGTCCGTGTCTCATACCTGGTCTTAAAGGATACATTACCAGCCTTTGCCATAGAGGCAACCTGTTCTGGGTCTAAAAGGTTCCCATCTTGATCGCGGTATTCCACGGATTCTTCACTATTAATAACTCGTTGGCCTGCGGGCATCGTGAACTCTGCCTTTTCAGCAGGCTCTTTCTCCTTTTCTTTTTGCTGTTCCTGCTGTCCATTTCGCTGCGGTGGCTCCTGCGGCTGCTTTTGCTGTTGGGAAGCCGGTTCCTGCGCAGGCGCCTTCGGAGGGGTTACTGTTGCCTTTGGCTGGGATGAGCCGACGTTTGCAATAGAGGAATATTGGGCCAACTAACCCGGTTCAGTATTCGTTACTTCACGCCACGCGAGGGAGCCTTCCACTGCGGGGGACTTACGTCTGTATAGAAGGTATTGCAATCAAAGTCCCATGAGCTCAACAGCTTAACCTTGCGACAAGCATCCTGGGTCCATGGGTTGCCATATGCCAATGGAGAGAATAACGTAAATGTTGCAATGCTTGCGGCCAAAAACAAAACGAAGAACACGCTACCGGCGATGGTATTCTTCTTTGAACCGCAAAGAGTCAACCGGTTCGCGACAAAGTCGAAGATCTGACAGAATGCAATAATAGCGAAGTACAGGGCCGGGAAATAATGATGTAGGAAAAGCTGACGGGCCATGAGATAAAATGGGAAGTAGTGAAAAGCCCAGCCCAAGACTGTCTGGCCAATCTCGTAGTCGAAGCGCTTGAAATTGACATTGTGATAATCGCCGAAACCTCGCTGCCATCGAACCACTGCAAGCCCTTTAAAGATCACGTATGCCACGATTGAAGCGGTAGACGCCCACCAAATAAGAGGATTCCCAATGAGATAGATCTGACGGTGGCTTTTGGCCCAAAAATTGATGCCCCGTAACAGAAGTGGCCAAGAAGTGGGTCGAGAATCCCAAGCGTGCGATTCCACCAAACCAGCATTGGTCCTCCACATGACGCGCTGAAGCTCCCAGAACTTGGCGAAGAAACCAGGGCGTGTGTAATTGACCTTCTCCACATCCGGTCCGAACATTGGATGTTCGTTATGTTCGACATACCAGATGCTATTGGGCAGCGAACCACCTTTGGCGCAGGTCACTTCCTGCTGCTCAAAACCCCAACTCGGGAGCTTGACTGGATGCGAGAACAGAACGCAACCACTCATAACATGCACAAGCTTAAACTTAGTCTCAATGGTCCTGAGCCTTTTCTTCGCCTCTGCGCCCTTGGAAAGAGAGTTCACAATCTCAACACGGAATAGATCGTTGGCATCGCCGGGAAAGCCCTCGTAACCATAAGCAGAGACTTCATTCTGCCAGTCAGCTTCGGTGACTGGGGGCCTGTGGTCGTGAGAGTGGAGTCTTCGGTCAGTGGTAACATGATAGAGTTTGATGGTAGCACCGTTCTCAATAAAACCAGCAGTGAGGTTATCCCATGCATGAGGGCCTTGAACTTGACCATAGGATCCAAGTGGCTGTGTTTGGTTCTCCATTATCCAAATATTGTTTTCGTCCTTGTGAGGGTATAGTGTAATTTGTTGTTGCTTGCTTCCCGTTGGATACATGTGACTATGGGAATGCAAGTAGCCACCTTGCGTGTTGTGATGTCTGATCGAGACCCTAGAGCCGAATGCAACATCGGCAGGCACATCTTTCATTCCCTTGGAATTAAGTGTTGCCTGGAACTCTGAGGACATGAAACCATCACCTTCCCCAGGGTTTACTAGACAGAGAAAATGGATGGCGAACATTGCAAGGTACATAGTAAGAGGGATGATGATCAAGCAAAACGCTCGAGCGAAAAAGTGCTTGAACCAGATATCCTAGCAGCTATGCTTAGTATCATGTTCCTCAAGTGCTCAATAAGCTAAAAATTACTTACCACTGTAACGGTCCTGGTATCCCCTAGAAGCACCCAGAGCTGAAGGACTGTCAAGCTACCAACCCATGCAACTGTGAACAAACCCACCCATTTGACACTGAGAGTGGCACCTAGGAAAAGCCCAGTAGCAGTGAGCCAGAACCACCATGCAGGCCCAAATGCCTTTGACGGTCCCTGTTCATGCTGATTTGTAAAACTTGTGAATGAAAGCACTGTTAACGCCGTAAAGAAGACCAATGGAGAGTCAAGAAGGATAAATCGAGACTGGGTCACTAATCCGTTCTCTTTGTAACAGGTTAGCAGGGGATTGGGTGCTATCAGCTGCTCGAGTGGAAGCCTACCGAATGTTACAAGAAGCGCTCCGAGGGAGGCGGTTATAGTCCGGCAACCGGAGGCCTTTAAGGTGAAAAACATAGTAGGAACAGATAAAATCCCGAGAACCGCCGGTAGCATGCGCATTGCAACATAAGGAACTCCAGGTTCCAAATAATCTTTGCCAATTTCTTTGAAGTCGAAATCACCACGGAATCCACCAAGAAAGCCGGCAAGAGTAATAAGCAATTTCGCCAATGGCGGGTGGACGTCCATAAAGAATTTCCCTTTTATATACTTCATCGCAAAACCGCCAAAGCTATAAAGAGTGTGATTTGTGAGCGCAGGGCTCAAAAGCGCGGGGAAACAACAGCGAAGACTTACTGGACCTCATCGAATACGACACTGCTGGGCTGGTAGATCCTGAACAATCGTACAATTGTTGCAAGCGCCGTAATGCAGAGCATTACTTTGTAGTCGGACTTGGGCAATTCAAAAATGTCATAGTCTCGCACGCCCTCAGATGTATAGTCCGACACTTGGGCGGTAGCCTTACGCCGATTCTTGGGGCCGGGAGAACGACCAGGAGACCGGCTGCTCCGCCGAGAGGGGGATTTAGCCTCCAACCCGGCTTTAGAGGATTTCGAAGGCATTATGAAGATTAGATACTATTACTGTCGTTAAAGAAAGTGAAGATCATATGAAAACATTGGTAGAAATGAGCCAAGGAGGTTTGGAGGTTGAAGCTGAAGATTGCACAAGGAAAACGTAGATTAACGATAGTCTGAAGTCAAGAAAGGGTCACAAAATATCATAGTAAGAATGAGAGGGAGAATAGAAGATGATGCTCCCTCCAGACAAGTGAATTGGCGTGAGAGAAAGTCGGAGTGAGTTGGGCGTCGCGGTGGCCTCGACTGAAAGGGGCGGCCGTCAGAGACCGCTTAGTCAGACGCCTGCTAGTAGACACGTGAAATTCCCGAAACGAAGCCGCAGCATCAGCTTTTGACATCGCCCCCAAGCCGCCCAGGACGGACAAACGGCCGCAACATCGGGTAAAAATGACGCTTGCTGCAGTAAATGGACCCTCTACGCCTGCGGAGCTCCCCGAGGAGGTGAGCAAACCTCCGGAAGGCGTAGTTGTCCCCCCCAAGGACATCAGAAGTGAGTGCCATCTCGACAGGGTTCCTCAACAGGGCTGCAACTGATGTGCCACCAGCTATTATTGAGAAAACCGCAGGCTTTGTGGCGCGAAATGGATTTGTCTTCGAAGGTACGTCTGCTTCTGCCAATGAGCTGCGTGTCTAATCACGAGTTCTCTGACTCAAGACCTCTAGATCGCGTTCGCGAGAAGGAAAGGAACAACCCTAAATTCTCCTTCTTGAACCCTGCCGATCCCTACGCAGCGTTCTACAACTGGCGCCTTAACGAAATCAAAGCCGGGAGAGGCACGGCGGTATCGGCTGGAAGGGCCGGCGAGCCAGTGGCAGTGCCTGAAGAAGAGAAGCCCAAGGGCCCAGAGGCGCCTCCAGAATTCCACTTTTCTGCGCGTATGCCGAACATAAATGCCTTGGATCTTGAGGTAGTCAAGCTGACGGCACTGTTTGTCGCCAAGAGAGGGAAATCCTTCATGACAGCGCTATCGCAACGTGAAACGAGAAATTACCAGTTTGATTTCCTACGGCCGCAGCACAGTTTATATCAATTCTTTACGAGGCTTGTAGATCAATATGCGGAACTTTTCCAAATAAATGGCGCTGACGCTGCCAAGGCACGCATAGCTGATCTGGAAAAGAACGTAAAGAATAAGTATCACATCCTTGACCGTGCGAAACAACGAGCAGAATGGGTCAAATACCAAGAGCAACAGAAACAAAAGAAGGAAGAGGAGGAAGAGCAAGAAAGAATAGCATATGCCCAGATAGACTGGCATGATTTCGTGGTGGTCGAAACTGTCTTATTTACAGAAACTGACGATCACGCTGAGCTCCCGCCACCTACATCACTAAACGACCTTCAGACTGCATCCCTGGAGCAAAAGGCTATGGTTTCTCTTGCACCAGCAAACAGGCGCATCGAAGAAGCCATGCCTACGGATGATGAAACCAAAAACTATTACAACGCCTATCCCACCACCTCACACCTTCCACCGCAACAACCTACATACGCACCATCCCCCATCCCGACTCACCTTGCACCGTCCGTCCCC